TCCAGAGATGTTCGATCAGGTTCAAGTCCGGGCTCTGGCTGGGCCACTCAAGGACATTCAGAGACATGTCCTGAAGCCACTCCTGTATTGTCTTGGCTGTGTGCTTAGGGTCGTTGTCCTGTTGGAAGGTTAACCTTCGTCCCAGTTTGAGGTCCTGAGCGCTCTGGAGCAGGTTTTCATCAAGGATCTCTGTACTTTGCTCTGTTCATCTTTCCCTCAATCCTGACTAGTGTCCCAGTCCCTGCCACTGAAAAACATCCCCACGTCATGATCCTTCCACCACCATGTAGGGATGGTGGCAGGTTTCCTCCAGACGTGATTATTGGCCTTCATGCCAAAGTGTTCAATCTTGGTTTCATCTGACCAGAGAATCTTGTTTCTCATGATCTGAGTGTCCTTTAGGTGCCTTTTGGCAAACTCCAAGCGGGCTGTCATGTGCCTTTTACTGAGGAGTGGCTTCTGTCTGGCCACTCTACCATAAAGGCCTGATATGTGGAGTGCTGTAGAGATGGTTGTCCTTCTGGAAGGTTCCACCATCTCCACAGAGGAACTCTGGAGCTCCTTAAGAGTGACCATCGGGTTCTTGGTCACCTTCCTGACCAAGGCCTAAAGCCTTTCTCCCCTGATTGCTCAGTTTGGCTGTGCGGCCAGCTCTAGGAAGAGTCTTGGTGGTTCCAAACTTCTTCCATTTAAGAATGATGGAGGCCACTGTGTTCTTGGGGACCTTCAATGATGCAGACATTTTTTGGTACCCTTCCCCAGATCTGTGCCTTGACACAATCCTGTCTTGGAGCTCTACGGACAATATCTTCGACCTCATGGCTTGGTTTTTGCTCTGACATGCACTGTCAACTGTGGGACCTTTAAATAGACAGGTGTGTGCCTTTCCAAATCATGTCCAATCAATTGAATTTACCACAGGTGGACACCAATCAAGTTATAGAAACATCTCAGGGATGATCAATGGAAAAAGGATGCACCTGAGCTGAATTTCGAGTCTCATAGCAAAGGGTCTGAATACTTATGTCGATAAGGTATGTTTTTTATTTTTAATACATTTGCAAAAATGTCTAAGCTGTTTTTACTTTGTCATTATGGGGTATTGTGTGTAGATTGATGAGAAATGTTTGATTTAATCAATTTTAGAATAAGGCTGTAACGTAACAAAATGTGGAAAAGGTGAAGGGGTCTGAATACTTTCCGAATGCACTGTATATGGACATGCATGAGCCGTCGTGAGTAGATACGCTTGTTTTGAGATCAATGCGAATGCTGCATGGAGCCACCTGTGCACATTTGTTCATATTCTTTGCTAGTTAATGAGTTATTAGCCCATTTATTGCTAATTTCTAGTCAACAATGGGGGAGTGGTTGCTTCCGACGAGCACAAAATGTGTGCATTTCTATCCATCTTTGAAAAGCGAGTCAGGTAATGAGCTTTTAAAAAATATATATCTTAAAAGGGAAGTGTTGTATTTTGAGACGGTCTTGAATAAGCTAAATAGGCAGAGGGTAGCATAATTTGACTGATTCTCTGTAATAATGGTATGGGAATAATAATGAATTTTATTTTGTAAAGTCGTTTCTTTTATCAAACAACACATTTTCAGTCACCTCCTTGTCTGAAGGACAAATGGAAAAACAGGTTAATGTCAAGCCCTCATGTTTTTTTCAAAAGTCTCATGGAATGTAGGCCTACATTGAACACCACACATTTGCTGCTACTGTAGGCTGAATGATATAACAACTATTTCCATGTTAAAATGTTATGTGATGTATTTTCTCCGTTGTTTTTTATGGTAGGCCGCTCTGGTAGGCCTACATTATGATCAAATAGCCACAATAACCTACTTGGCCACTGTTAAGACTAACTTAAAGCGGGTACAGCCTCAGTGTTAACAGTAAACGCGCACTGGAAGTTGCACAGAAATTTCACGATGTTCATGTTTGCGCCCAGCAGACCTGAAATTTGCGCATTGGCAAATTTTTTTGAGGGAACATTGCCTATCACGTCAGCAATTGTAGGCTATTTATTGCCCATCCATTGGTTTTTTGAGCATTCATTCTCCTTGTATTTAGCCATTGAGTCTATTTGGCATTCCATATTGCATGCAGCCATGTATAGAATTATATTGCTCATCTGGGTTGGATGGCTTGGCATTCCTCAGGGTTATATGCAGTCCCCCTTGCACTCGCTGTCTCTGGAATGGGATCAGTGTTTGGTGCCAGGCGGATAGCGGTGCATGTGTGTGCGTCTGCCTTACTAATGGTCCTGACAGACTGGTGAGATCGAGTCACTCAACATTTGTTTGTACTAGCGTTGAGTCCCACACTTCATTGCCTCATAAAATTAGTAAGGGAAGGCATAGCTTTCAAAATGTCTCACTCCTCATTAACTTACTTTATGTCCCAGTCTCTAGCTTTCATGTAGGCTTCTTATTCAAAGGATGGTTCCTCAAACATTTCAGATTTTCTAACGTGTAAGCTGTATCTCAATACTTAGGCTTAATTTCCACAGCAACTTCTCCCTCATGGCCACAACCTCAGGACTTGATGAACAATGCAATGTAGTGGAAACTATCAAGCCCTCTTACCTACCAAGGTTCTTGAAGGAAGGGAGACAACCAAAGTTGAGACACAGCCTCAGAGTGGAAAAGCTCCACTAAATACCTGCAAGAAGTCAGATAAGACGTCAAACCACCAACTCCTTTCAGAGGAAAATAAGCTGCAATTCTCTCTGTGGCCAGTAGATGTCAGCAGCATCAGAGCCTAAGCAGCACTGACCCTGTTATCTGAATGCTCTTGCTGCATTTTAATGATGGCCCAATGTAGGTAATCAAAGCCTTGCTGACCTTCCTTTGTGTGCGCCTCATTCTTCCGCTTGCGCCTGAATGGAAAATCAAAGAAAGAAAAATGAATAAATGGCTGGTTATCAAAGGCTGCCATGGGTTGTTGTTGTCTAGTCTACATACTGGATGGGAAACATCAATTTATCACACACACACACACACACACGTAATAAATACTTACGAATAAATATAGACACTCACCTACCCGTATCTACACAACACATTGTTCCTTACTATAGAGGCTACCTAGGCTTATAGTTTCAAGTTTATTATATAAAACATCATTGCATAACATTATGAAATGAGATGCTCTTTACATGATGAGGAAGACCACTGTAATAAACTTTAAAAATACATGGACATTGAAACACAACCGTAATCTAAAGTGATACAATTTTTGGCTAAAGTTCAGATTTATCACTGGGCACATTACAGTTAAGAATTTAAGAAATTACCACAGGTACACTACAGGGTCAGTCTGTATGCTCTAGGCAGAAAGGACAGTTGGTGTCTTTTTGTTTGACTGATTGTATTGTTTCCCATTTCACAGGTTATAGTGGTTTGGTTTTGTGATCAGAGCCTGGAAAAGTGGGTGGGTCCCCTCCTTCAGTAGCCGAGTGAACTCACTTATTGTGGCCTCATCTCTTCTTGCCTCCGGGCTGTGTATACCCTAATGATACGGCAGCATCTTCTCTGAAGGCCTTCCATCTCTTTGATCAGGTGTTTTCGGAGACCTGCCCAAACTATAGCCATTAAAACCAGTAGATGGTGATAGTGCTGATGTTAACCACAAATATTTGAATTTGAAGCGTACCATTCATATTTAGCTGAATGGGGCTAAATGGCACCAAACAAATCGCTAAGGATCATGGAGAAAGTGGCCGTAACTAGCAAAGGATCATGGTAGATGTAGTTGTTTTCATCCTGCCTGAGAGTCAACCGGAGCCTCCTCATAGCCTGCCAGCCCGTGATTGGTCTGTCAGCATTTGGTCCTGTGTGATGACAAAAGTAGTAGTCAGATTGGATCACTATTTAATAAAATATCTCGATTTGTAGCAAACTATAAAATAAATCACTGTGAGGATCGAACTTCATCATAATAAACTCATTTTAAAGCCAAAACGGCCGCCAATTTTTTTCTCCCAGTTTGGCCGTTCTGCCGATCGTACTTTACATAGGCTTTCTAGGGCAGACCAGGGCTTTTGGCACCGCTATCAGAGCTTGGGACTTCATGCTCCAGACCGGCCACTGGGTGCCTGGCCCAAACAGGTGAAGCATATTCCAGGACAGGCCTGATGAATGTCACATTTATCACAGTTTATTAGGTACACCCATCTAGTACCGGGTCGGACCCCCTTTGCTTCCAGAAAAGTCTGAATTCTTCAGGGCATGGATTCTACAAGGTGTCGGAAACGTTCGTTGCTCAATTGGTATCAAGGGACCTAATGTGTGCCAGGAAAACATTCCCTACACCGGTATGCCACCAGCCTGTACCAGGCAGGATGGGTCCATGGACTCATGCTGCTAGCGACAAATCCTGACTCTGCCATCAGTATGAAGCAACTGGACCTCAAGTGTCCAGTGTTGGTGAGCGCGTGGCTACTGGAGCCACTTCTTGTTTTTAGCTGATAGGAGTGGAACCTGGTGTGGTCGTCTGCTGCAATAGCCCATCTGTGACAAGGATCGACGAGTTGTGCGTTCCAAGATGCCGGTCTGCACACCACTGTTGTATTGTGCCGTTATTTGTTTGTTGCCCGCCTGTTGGCTTGCACAATTCTTGATGTTGTTTGTTTGTCGCACCATTCCCGGGTAAACCCTAGACACAGTCGTGTGTGAAAAGCCCAGGAAGGCAGCTGTTTCTGAGATACTGGATCCGGTGCGCCTGGCACCGACGATCATACTATGCTCAAAGTCGCTTAGGTTACTCTTTTTGCCCATTCTTACATTCAATCGAACAGTAAGTGAATGCCTGTCTGCCTGCTTTATATAGCAAGCCACGGCCACGTGACTCACTGTCTGTAGGAGCGATCAATTTTCGTGAACTGGGTGGTGTACTTAATAAACTGAGTAAATTTGGCTTAGAACATCTGAAGAAATACCAGCGCGCTTGGCCACGCTCAGGTAATGGATTGTTGGTTGGGCTGTCTTCAGCATGTATCTGACGTGGGCCAAGGAGAGGTCAGAGAAGAGCTGCACCCCGATGAGCTTAAAGGTGTCCACGTTCCACTGCCTGGCCGTTCAGGAAAACAGGAGGAGGAGTCAATCTGTTTTTGAGGCTTCCCGCAGTCGTGGGTGAACAGGGAGTACAGGAGTGGACTAAGCACGCACGCCCTCGTGTTGAGGATCAGCGTGGCAGATGTGTTGTTGCCTACCCTCACCACCTGAGGGCGGCCCGTCAGGAAGTCCAGGATCCAGTTGCAGAGGGAGGTTTTTAGACCCAGGGTCCTTTATCTTAGTGATGAGCTTTGTGGGCACTATGGTGTTGAACGCTGAGCTGTAGTCAATAAACAGCATTCTCACATAGGTGTTCCTTTTGTCCAGGTGGGAAAGGGCAGTGTGGATTGAGATTGAGTCATCTGTGGATCTGTTGGGGCGGTATGCGAATTGGAATGGGTCTAGGGTTTCCGTGATGATGGTGTTTGATGTGAGCCATGACCAGCCTTTCAAAGCACTTCATGGCTACCGACGTGAGTGCTATGGGGTGGTAGTCATTTAGGCAGGTTACCTTCGCTTTCTTGGGCACAGGGACTGTGGTGGTCTGCTTGAAACATGTAGATATTACAGACTCGGTCAGGGAGAGGTTGAAAATGTCAGTGAAGACACTTGCCAGTTGGTCCGCGAATGCTCTTTGTGCACATCCTGGTAATCTGTCAGGCCCTGTGGCCTTGTGAATGTTGACCTGTTTAAAGGTCTTGCTCACATTGGCTACGGAGAGCGTGATCACACAGTCGTCCGGAACAGCTGGTGCTCTCATGCATGCTTCAGTGTTGCTTGCCTCAACGGCATTTAGCCCATCTGGTAGGCTCGCGTCACTGGGCAGCTCACGGCTGGGTTTCCCTTTGTAGTCTAATAGTTTGCAAGCCCACATCCAACGAGCGTCAGAGCCGGTGTAGTAGGATTCAATCTTAGTCCTGTATTGACTCTTTGCCTGTTTGATGGTTCGTCTGAGAGCATAGTGGGATTTCTTATAAGCATCCGGATTATTGTCCCGCTCCTTGAAAGCGGCAGCTCTAGCCTTTAGATCGGTGCGGATGTTGCCTGTAATCCATGGCTTCTGGTTGGGATATGTACGTACGGTCACTGTGGGGATGACGTCGTCAATGCACTTATTGATGAAGCTGGTGACAGAGGTGGTATACTCCTCAATGCCATTGGATGAATCCCAGAACATATTCCAGTATCTGCTAGCAAAACAGTCCTGTAACATCTGCGTCATCTGACCACTTCCGTATTGAGCGAGTCACTGGTACTTACTGCTTTAGTTTTTGCTTGTAAGCAGGAATCAGGAGGATAGAATTATGGTCAGATTTTCCAAATGGAGGGCGAGGGAGAGCTTTGTACGCGTCTCTGTGTGTGGAGTAAAGAGTTTTTTTCCCCCTCTGTTTGCACATGTGACATGCTGGTAGAAATTTAAGTTTGCCTGCATTAAAGTCCCCGGCCACTAGGAGCGCCGCTTCCCGATGAGCATTTTCTTATTTGCTTATGGCCTTATACAGCTCGTTGAGTGCGGTCTTAGTGCCAGCATCGGTTTGTGGTGGTAAATAAAAGGCTACGAAAAATATAGATAAACTCTCTTGGTAGATAGTGTGGTCTACAGCTTATCATGAGGTACTCTACCTCAGGCGAGCAATACCTCGAGACTACCTTACTATTAGACATCGCGCACCAGCTGTTATTGACAAATGGACACACACCCCCACCCCTCGTAGATGTTCTGTCCTGCCGATGCACGGAAAACCCAGCCAACTGTATATTATCCGTGTCGTCGTTCAGCCATGACTCGGTGAAACATAAAATATTACACTTTTTAATGTCCCGTTGATAGGGTAGTCTCTTTTCTTCATGCGAATAACAGGGATTTGGGCCTTGTCTGGGAGCAACATTATATCCTTCGCGTCCGACTCATTAAATAAAACATCTTTGTCCAGTTCGAGGTGAGTAATCGCTGTTCTAATATCCAGAAACTATTTTTCGGTCATAAGAGACAGTAGCATCAACATTATGTACAAAATAAGTTACAAACAATGCGAAAAAACAAACAAAATAGCACAATTGGTTAGGAGCCAGTAAAACGGTGCCATTCTTCAATAAAATCAATGGACCACATTTCAGGGTGTTGTCTCCAAGAATCACAATAACTGGAATACTATATCTGTTTTGAATAGTACTGAAACATTCCAGGGCCTGGGAGTCAGATCGGGCCTCTTTAGAATATTTGAGGGGGTGATAGAGAACAGCAGACACAATGCCGTTAATACCACGTGGTAGGAGAGATGGTCTCAGCCAAATCCAAAAACACGCAAAGCTGTCATCCTCAAGGTCCAGTAAACGCTTGTGATGGATGCTGTGCGTTATGTACATGGCTACACCCCCACCACGAGGTTACTCTGGCCTTTCTATGCAGACTATAGCCTTGAATACTGACTATTGAGCCTGGGACATCTTCCTTTAACCAGGACTCGTTCACAGCTACAATGGCATTCTCGTTAGCCTGAGTCACAGAGTAAAGCTCATCTACCTTGTGTGTTAGGGATTGTGTGTTAGGGATTTTGTGTTATACAAGAAAGTTGGGAAGCACAGTCTTTGCATCTTTTGGGGCATTGTGTGCTCCACACCAGACAGTGCAGGGTGGACTAGATTCTGCAAGTCAACAGGGCAATAGGGCTTGTGCTGCTTTACGCGCTCACGAGTCGGGACAGGTATTCAAAGCACTGTTTTCTTCCCGTCTACAACCCCTTGGCTGTCGCGAAAGGCCAGACTGTGCTAGAGTCCATTTAAGATTCCGAAAAAAAGCTGCTGTCAGTTTTTACATTGCTCAAACTCAAACTTGATAATGCTAATACACACAGGAAATGCAAGTATTCACGGAATTACAAACTATTATAAAACAGGTAATGCAAGAGTGACCTCTGACTCAAACTGTTATAATGCAAGCTGCCAAACAAGGGTGCCAAGTTACAATTGTCAAGAGTCAGTGTTGGTGTTACCCAGGGACCGGAGGGCAACAAGATGGCTCCCATTCCCAACTGCTGTTTGGACATACAATTACAAGCCTACACAACTAAAATATTCTGAAATGATAACCGAAATCTATGGCCAAAGCGATGATAGAAGACTTTGGTTTAAGTAAATGTGTGGATGGCTGGTAAAAACTATGATTTGGAATGGATTAAGTATTTGCAGGAGAGCACCAAACCCTGTTGGCAGCCATCTTGAATAACCTCTGACCTCTGAGAATGTACTCTGTGAAACTGCTCTAAATGCTTTGTTTGCTTCATGTAAAATGAAAGTGAACGCTAAAGTAAAGTAAGACACTGACTAATAAAGCTTGCATCAAAAAATAACATTTGTTTTGCACAATTGAACATGAATTTAAGTGAAGTGGGGACATTTTGTTCTTGCAATATGGCAGTTCAACTGACTGTTTCTTTTTCTTCCTCTTTCGTTGCTCATTGTTCACTCTCTTGTTTCTCCTATGTAGCTGCTTCTGGAAGGTTCAGCACAGGATAGAATTATGAATGTGTTCTCTGTGTCTCTCTCTCTCACTTTCTCTCTCTCTATTTCTCTCTCTCTTCCTCCCACACAATCAGACTTTGAGAGCTCCCTGATGAAGTGGACTAGCTGTACAACTGGCTCGTAAAATGGACAGCCCATTTCCCTCCATTGTCCCCTTCGCGCTCTCACTCGCTCACACTCACTCACTCAGATAAGCTTTATAACATGAATGACAAAGCCACTGTTGCTAAACGAAGTGAGATAATGACATCAGCAATAACAGTAAAAACAAATAATCGTGATGGTGATTAGAGAGAGGGGACAGTATATACACTGAGTGTACAAAACATTAGGAGCACACCCTTTTACCCCCAGAACAGGATCAATTCGTTGGGGCATGGACTCTACAAGGTGTCGAAAGCATTCCACAAGGATGCTGGTCCATGTTGACTCCAATGCTTCCCACAGTTGTGTCAAATTGGCTGGATGTCCTTTGGGTGGTAAACCATTCTTGATACACATGAGAAACTGTTGAGCGTGAAAATCCCAGCGGTGTTGCAGTTCTTCACACTCAAACCGGTGCGCCTGGCACCTACTACCATACCTCGTTCAAAGGCACGTCAATATGTTGTCTTGCCCATTCACCTTATAATAATAATAATATGCCATTTAGCAGACGCTTTTATCCAAAGCGACTTACAGTCATGCGTGCATACATTTTTGTGTATGGGTGGTCCTTCTGAATGGCACACATACACAATCCATGTCTCAAGGATGAAAAATCCTTCTTTAACCCGTCTCCTCCCCTTCATCTACACTGATTGAAGTTCTTATTCTAAAATTGATTAAATTGTTTTTTCCCCCTCATCAATCTACACACAATACCCCATAATGACAAAGTGACAACAGGTTTTTTGAAATGTTTGCAAATGTATTTTTTTAAATTTTTTTATAGTGTTATTAAATACCTTATTTATGTAAGTATAAAGACCCTTGCTATGAGACTCGAAATTGAGCTCAGGTGCATCCTTTTCCATTGATCATCCTTGAGATGTTTCTATAACTTGATTAGAGTCCACCTGTGGTAAATTCAATTGATTGGATATTAAATGCATGTAGTTCTGTCCTTGAGCTGTTCTTGTCTATTAATGTTCTGTATTATGTCATGTTTCATGTGGACCCCAGGAAGAGTAGCTGCTGCTTTTGCAACAGCTAATGGGGATCCTAATAAAATACCAAATACCAAATTTGGAAAGGCACACACCTGTCTATATAAGGTCCCACAGTTGACAGTGCATGTCAGAACAAAAAACAAGCCATGAGGTCGAAGGAATTGTCTATAGAGTTCTGAGATAGAATTGTGTCGAGGCACAGTTCTGAGGAAGTGTACCAAAAAATGTCTGCATCATTGAAGGTCCCCAAGAACACAGTGGCCTCCATCATTCTTAAAAGGAAGAAGATTGGAACCACCAATACTCTTCCTAGGGCTGGCCGCCTAGCCAAGCTGAGGAATCAGGGGAGAAGGGCCTTGGTCAGGGAGGTGACTAAGAACCCGATGGTTACTCTTAAGGAGCTCCAAGAGTTCCTCTGTGGAGATGGGAGAACCTCCTAGAAGGACTACCATGTCTGCAGCGCTCCACCAATCAGGCGTTTATTGTAGAGTGGCCGGACGGAATCCACTCCTCAGTAAAAGGCACATGACAGCCCGCTTGGAGTTTGCCAACAGGCACCTAAAGGACACTCGGACCATGAGAAACAAGATACTCTGGATGGATGAAACCAAGATTGAACTCTTTGGCATGAATGCCAAACGTCACGTCTGGAGGAAACCTGGCACCATCCCTACGGTGAAGCATGGTGGTGGCAGCATCATGCTGTGAGGATGTTTTTCAACGGCAGGGAATGGGATACTAGTCAGGATCTTGGCAAAGATGAATGGAGCAAAGTACAGAGAGATCCTTGATGAAAACCTGCTCCAGATAGCTCAGGACCTCAGACTGGGGAGAAGGTTCAGCTTCCAACAGGACAACGACCCTAAGCACACAGCCAAGACAATGCAGGAGTGGTTTCGGGACAAGTCTCTGAATGTTCTTGCGTGGCCCATCCAGAGCCCGGACTTGAACCCAGAATGAACATCTCTGGAGAGACCTGAAAATGGCTGCGCAGCGATGCTCCCCATCCAACCTGACAGAGTTTGAGAGGTTCTGCAGAGAAGAATGGGAGAAACTCCCCAAATACAGGTGTGCCAAGCTTGTAGCGTCATACCCAATAAGACTCGAGGCTGTAATCGCTGCCAAAGGTGCTTCAACAAAGTTCAGCGTAAAGGGTCTGAATACTTATGTAAATGTGATATTTCATTTTTTTATATTTAATAAATGTACAAAAATGTCTAAAAACCAGTTTCTCCTTGTCCTTATTGAGTATTGTGTATAGATTGATGGGGGGGGGACAATGTAATCCATTATAGAATAAGGCTGTAACGTAACAAAATGTGGAAAAAGTCAAGGGGTCTGAATACTTTCCGAAGGGCACAACGGCCACTTTGGCCTCAAAAGGCATGGATTTTTTAGCGGGCATTACGGCCACACGGGGGGATGCCGCCGGGAAATTTGAGGCCTGGTGAGAATATTATCAGGTGCTTGTCAAATTGTGAATGACAGACTGATGAAGTGAGTGCAGCTTGCGATTTTTTTCAAATCAACATCAGAGTCCCATCATGCAGCCTTAGAATGTATTAAACATCAAATCATATAGCCCAACATTTGTATCACAACTAAAGTTGCATAAATAACTCTATATTAAGCATATAGGAGGACCAGTTTCTTTGTTAACCGCTCAACACAGAATAGCCGCCCGCATGTGCGCACTTCCTTTGAAACCGTTTGGAGAAAATATCCTTTCTATTTTATTGAGCTATGTTCAATTGTATTCTTCATACTATAAAATAAAATAAAATTATGCCACGGAATTCTAAGCAAATCTTGTCTGCTAAATTTACTAGTGTAGCCCACAGACATATGGCATAGCCAGATCAGGGCCTAATATAAGGACAACTCAGAGTATGCTATTCTGTTCTTCTGATATAGACTACATTTTCTTCATATCATGTTTCTTTAGACCTGTCTAAAATAAATAGCGGATTTGTTGTGATGGTGTAGGCTATATTAAATTGATTTATTAAACTTTTTGAAATTTAGATGTTCCAAAGGTCTGTATCAGTGGCTTGTAGGCTATGCGAGGAAGCCAGGAGATGCTAAACGCGTTTATGCTAATTAATGGTAAATTAAAGTGAGACTGGCAGTTATTTGCTTGACAATCACCGGCTGACAATTTCATGACCGCCACAGCCCTAGGTGTGTGCATATAGGAGTGTGTGGCTAAGTGTGTGAGTGTATTAGATGTTATTTGATGTATTATTCAATGTGTATTTAGTGTACATACAGTTCAAGTCGGACGTTTACATACACTTAGGTTGGAGTCATTAAAACTTGTTTTTCAACCACTCCACAAATTTCTTGTTAACAAACTATACTTTTGGCAAGTCGGGTAGGACATCTACTTTGTGCATAACACAAGTAATTTTTCCAACAAATGTTTACAGACAGATTATTTCACTTATAATTCACTGCATCACAATTCCAGTGGGTCAGAAGTTTACATACACTAAGTTGACTGTGCCTTTAAACAGCTTGGAAAATTCCAGAAAATGATGTCATGGATTTAGAAGCTTCTGATAGGCTAATTGACATAATTTGAGTCAATTGGTGGTGTACCTGTGGATGTATTTCAAGGCCTTCCTTCAAACTCAGTGCCTCTTTGCTTGACATTATCGGAAAATCAAAAGAAATAAGCCAAGACCTCAGAAAAAAAATTGTAGACCTCCACAAGTCTGGTTCATCCTTGGGAGCAATTTCCAAATGCCTGAAGGTACCACGTTCATCTGTACAAACAATAGTACGCAAGTATAAACACCATGGGACCACGCAGCCGTCATACCGCTCAGGAAGGAGATGCGTTCTGTCTCCTAGAGATGAACGTACTTTGGTGCGAAAAGTGCATATCAATCCCAGAACAACAGCAAAGGACCTTGTAAAGATGCTGGAGGAAACAGGAAAAAAAGTATCTACAGTGAGGGAAAAAAGTATTTGATCCCCTGCTGATTTTGTACGTTTGTCCACTGACAAAGACATGATCAGTCTATAATTTTAATGGTAGGTTTATTTGAACAGTGCGAGACAGAATAACAACAAAAAAATCCAGAAAAACGCATGTCAAAAATTTTATAAATTGATATGCATTTTAATGAGGGAAATAAGTATTTGACCCCTCTGCAAAACATGACTTCGTACTTGGTGGCAAAACCCTTGTTGGCAATCACAGAGGTCAGATGTTTATTGTAGTTGGCCACCAGGTTTGCACACATCTCAGGAGGGAATTTGTCCTACTCCTCTTTGCATATCTTCTCCAAGTCATTAAGGTTTCGAGGCTGACGTTTGGCAACTCGAACCTTCAGCTCCCTCCACATATTTTCTATGGTATTAAGGTCTGGAGACTGGCTAGGCCACTCCAGGACCTTAATGTGCTTCTTCTTGAGCCACTCCTTTGTTGCCTTGGCCGTGTGTTTTGGGTCATTGTCATGCTGGAATACCCATCCACGACCCATTTTCAATGCCCTGGCTGAGGTAAGGAGGTTCTCACCCAAGATTTGACGGTACATGGCCCCGTCCATCATCCCTTTGATGCGGTGAAGTTGTCCTGTCCCCTTAGTAGAAAAACACCCCCAAAGCATAATGTTTCCACCTCCATGTTTGACGGTGGGGAGGGTGTTCTTGGGGTCATAGGCAGCATTCCTCCTCCTCCAAACACGGCGAGTTGAGTTGATGCCAAAGAGCTCGAATTTGGTCTCATATGACCACAACACTTTCACCCAGTTCTCCTCTGAATCATTCGGATGTTAATTGGCAAATTTCAGACGGGCCTGTATATATGTTTTCTTGAGCAGGGGGACCTTGCGGGCGCTGCAGGATTTCAGTCCTTCACGGCATAGTGTGTTACCAATTGTTTTCTTGGTGACTATGGTCCCAGCTGCCTTGAGATCATTGACAAGATCCTCCCGTTTAGTTCTGGGCTGATTCCTAACCGTTCTCATTATCATTGCAACTCCACGAGGTGAGATCTTGCATGGAGCCCCAGGCCGAGGGAGATTGACAGTTCTTTTGTGTTTCTTCCATTTGAGAATAATCGCACCAACTGTTGTCACCTTCTCACCAAGCTGCTTGGCGATGGTCTTGTAGCCCATTCCAGCCTTGTGTAGGTCTACAATCTTGTCCCTGACATCCTTGGAGAGCTCTTTGGTCTTAGCCATGGTGGAGAGTTTGGAATCTGATTGATTGATTGCTTCTGTGGACAGGTGTCTTTTATACAGGTAACAAGCTGAGATTAGGAGCACTCCCTTTAAGAGTGTGCTCCTAATCTCAGCTCGTTACCTGTATAAAAGACACATGGGAGCCAGAAATCTTTCTGATTGAGAGGGGGTCAAATACTTATTTTCCTCATTAAAATGCAAATCAATTTATAACATTTTTGACATGCGTTTTTCTGGATTTGTTTGTTATTCTGTCTCTCACTGTTCAAATAAATCTACCATTAAAATTATAGACTGATAATTTCTTTGTCAGTGGGCAAACGTACAAAATCAGCAGGGGATCAAATACTTTTTTCCCTCACTGTATATCCACAGTAAAACGAGTCCTATATCGACATAACCTGAAAGGCCGCTCAGCAAGGAAGAAGCCACTGCTCCAAAACCGCCATTTAAAAAAGCCAGACTACGGTTTGCAACTGCACATGGGTACAAACATCATACTTTTTTGAGAAATGTCTTCTGGTCTGATGAAACAAAAATAGAACTGTTTGGCCATAATGGCCATCGTTATGTTTGGAGGAAAAAGGGGGTAGCTTGCAAGCCGAAGAACACCATCCCAACCGTGAAGCACGGGGGTGGCAGCATCATGCTGTGGGGGTGCTTTGCTGCAGGAGGGACTGGTGCACTTCACAAAATAGATGGCATCATGAGGAAGGAAAATAATGTTGATATATTGAAGCAACATCTCAAGAGATCAGTCAGGAAGTTAAAGCTTGGTCGCAAATGGGTATCCCAAATGGACAATGACCCCAAGCATACTTCCAAAGTTGTGGCAAAATGGCTTAAGGACAACAAAGTCAAGGTATTGGAGTGGCCATCACAAAGCCCTGACCTCAATCCTATAGAAAATTGGTGGGCAGAACTGAAAAAGCGTGTACGAGCAAGGAGGCCTACAAACCTGACTCAGTTACACCAGCTCTGTCAGGAGGAATGGGCCAAAATTCACCCAACTTATTGTGGGAAGCTTGTGGAAGGCTACCTGAAATGTTTGACCCAAGTTAAACAATTTAAAGGCAATGCTACCATTTACTAATTGAGTGTATGTTAAACTTCTGACCCACTGGGAATGTGATGAAAGAAATAAAAGCTGAAATAAATCATTCTCTACTATTATTCTGACATTTCACATTCTTAAAATAAAGTGGTGATCATAACTGACATAAAACAGGAAAGTTTTACTAGGATTAAATCTCAGGAATTGTGAAAAACTGAGTTTAAATGTATTTGGCTAAGGTTTATGTAAACTTCCGACTTCAACTGTACATGAGGTGTGGTGTGTAATTATTTACAGAAATTAAATTAGTAAAAAATCATTCAATAAGGAAACAAAACAAAAGAGAACAAAAACACTAACAACTGCAAAATCTATCACATTTCTGGTTGTGGCACATGGTGCGAAATTTAGCTGCCAGCTTAGCTGACTTCTGCTCCTCTCCAAGCAGGATGGGAAGTTTATGTACAGGGATCTGTCTAAAGTTTGGTATATATGTTGTCATATTTTGGGCAGGAACACAGGAAGTGCATCTGTTTCTACCTCCTGTAAATCACAATACCTACATATTCTCTGATCTCTTGGCAGCCAAGATTTATGGTGTCTTGCTTTTTCAATTTCCAGACTGTGGTCGCTCATCAGCCTTTATTTTGGCAGGAGTTTTTTTCCTTTTACATCTTGGAGGCTTCGATATTCAGCCAACGATTTAGGGACAGATAACAATCAAGTTTAGTTTGTCCAATTGCTTTCAATTTGGAGTCAATTTGTTTGATTTTGTAGGTAGGGAGGGGTGTACATGAGAGGGGGGGGGGCTCATCAGAGTAGCAAAGTACAGTTGGTATTTGGTATTTTATTAGGATCCCCATTTAGCTGTTGCAAAAGCAGCAGCTACTATTCCTGGGGTCCACACAAAACAAGAAAAATTACATAATACAGAACATTAATAGAGAAGAACAGCTCAAGGACAGAACTACATACATTTAAAAACTGCACAGACAGCCTACATATCAATACATACACACAGTATCTAGGTCAAATAGGGGAGAGGCGTTTTGCCGTGAGGATTTGTTTTATCTGTTTTTTGAAACCGGGTTTTCTGTTTATTTGAGCAATATGAAATAGAAGGGAGTTCCATGCAATAATGGCTCTAAATAATACTGTACGCTTCCTTTAATTTATTCTGGATTTGGGTACTGTGAAAAGATCACTGGTGGCATGTCTGGTGGGGTAAGTGTGTGTGTCAGAGCTGTGTGTAAGATGACTATGCAAACAATTTAGAATTTCTTATAAAAAGAAGTGATGCAGTCAGTCTCTCCTCAACTCCTAGCCGAGAGAGACTGGCATGCATAGTATTTATATTAGCCCTCTGATTACAATGAAGAGCAAGACGTGCTGCTCTCTTCTGGGCCAGTCGCAGCTTAACCCTCTAAGATTGATGTCCGCGCCCCCCACATAATTCAAATTAGCATAATACAAAGATCTGCATCAAAATCCGTAATTTTAAGCTAAAGATATTTTTTGGTTGTTGAATTGGATGCTTCTCAATCAACCGCATCCTTCTATGTAACACTTCTGCATCTGCGGTGAAAGGTGACAGAGCTAGAGCGGTGTTTGTCAGACCATGAGACATCCAGAAAATCGGTCTTCTCACAAAATCGTCTCTAGCGTCCGAATGGTTTGGCCTACAAACTATTATGGAAAATGAGACTCTCACGAACACGATGGTGTTCTCCGTTTTGCTCTACGACCAACACAAGTGTCTTGCGACTCGTCTGAAGTCGGGACAGCCGATCTGCTAACGTTTGTCTGCAGCGTCCGAACAGTTTGGGCTACATGCTAATATGACCCCTCTGGGTTAATGTCGGTATTTTTATTTTTTTTGCTCTAGGATGCCCACAGGCCACACAAGACTCGTCTGAAGGTCCCCCGGTACCAGTTGAAAACATTTATGGAAGAATATATGGAGACTGTTTAGTGACAAAAATAAGGGGTTAAATACATGTCAAAAGAAATAACAAATGTTTCCTGATCTTTCTTATATCTCTCAGATATAGGGCAGACACTTAAGTGATAATGCCCTCGAAGCCGGTGTTTGGAGGATATATTGGCACGGGTGTTGTTAATATGTCCGTTCCAATATATCCTCCAAACACCGGCTTTGAGGGCATTATCACTTTTATACAATGGGTTACAAACATATTCAAATAATGATTTGACATTTTCATTAAAAACATTATTTTGATGAATTTATTCATACTATTTCACCCTTCCACAAGACAAAGTCCCGACACAAATCTAGGGTTGCTACCCAAGCTGGCTGGTCGTTCGTTCTATCGTTTCGGTTGCTAGAGACGCGACCCAGTCGTTCAGTCTTTTTGTTTTGTATCTATGGACCCAGTCGTTCATTCTAAATGTTCCATTGCCATACTGGCTGGCAACGTTCTTATCCCTTGCTTGCTAGCTAGCTAGCCAACTACGGCTAATTTACAGTCACGTCAAAAAGTGCAGCCAGAATAACAGCAAAGTAGCTGCATTTGCATTTGTTTAAGCTGTTTTCTAGTGACATTTATTTGGATACATCCATAACAATGAGCTAATGAGGCGCGATTTCGCCTGGCATAGAAAATGTTCTCACTCATCAGGACACTATTGTTCAGAGGAGCTAGCCAACAACACAGCTAACACAATCACTTCAAACTGAAGATGGAAAGACTGCAAACTAGATTCACTTCGTTTGTCAATTGACATTTATTTTTATATATCCATAAAATTGATGCCAGCTGATTCATGATTTCAACTGGCTGAGAAACGCTGCCTGCCTGTCTCTCGTCCCAACTCCCGACACGTCCGTTACTATGCGACAGCTGGAGATCGAATTTGAATATTGAAACAATGTTGCAAATGTCGGAGAGACAGACAGCAAGGTTTATACAAATTACCGCTGTTGAAAACTAAATGTTAGTCTAAAAGAAATGTGAGATAATGTCTAGATGCTTTTTATAGTGGAGATCAAGTTTATAAAGTGCCTGGCTGGGCTGATGACACATGGGATTGTGCAGTCAGATGGAACAGAGTAAATAGGCATTTTAACGTGATAGATTAAGCCGGTGGTAATTTGTGGAATAGACACCGGTCACTTGATGTCATCCTACGGTTGTTGAGTGACATTCGAATGAGTTGGCGGTCATCCCGGTCAGTAGAGAGTTGTTTTCGCCCTCTGCCGGTCTGTAGCTTTGTTGTCCCCAATGTCTGCTGCTTGACCTTGTTCTTATGAACCACCGTCTTTGAAATTTTAAGGATGGAAGCAACCTGACGCTCACTGTATCCCTCTGCCAGTAAAGCCAGAATTGAACCCTTCTTTTCCTCACTCAAAACTATTGACCATGCCAAAACTTTTGGCATGGTCAATAGTTATTTTTTGATTAATATTACTTTTGAGGTACTATTAGCACTGTTTTTGCCATCCAGCTGGTCCTATTGCAAGAGGATAGTGATGACCACAGCAGTGGTTTTTATACTTTTCCTCGTTAAATAAGATTAGGTTCATGTGATCACCTAATCAGTACCTAATTCAGTAGAATGAGGTGTGCCTGTGTTGGAATTCAACAGACACTGGAATAGAATGGCTGTCATACATGTAGAGATGCTGATTTAAGAAGAATTTGCAGTGGTCTCTTAATTTTTTCCAGAGCTGTATATTTCCTGATCTTTTTTATATCCCAGCTTGGATTCTTATGGGTTCACTAGGTCTTTCTTTGCAGCACTTGACCACCTGACTGGACAATAATCAAGATAAGACAAACCTAGAGCCTGCAGGACTTGCTTTTTGGAGTGCAGTGTCAAAAAAGCAGAGCATTTTTTTTATTATGGGCAGACCTCTAAGGTAACACCAAGTAATTTAGTGTCCTCAACTTGTTCAACAACCACACCATTCATTTACCAGATTCAGCTGAACACTAGAGTTTAGGGGATTGTTTGTATCAAATACAATACTCTTAGTTTTAGAGATGGTCAGGACCAGTTTATTACTGGCCACCCCATTCCAAAGCTGAGCTGTGGTTGCTTACACGTACAGTGGAGAGAACAAGTATTTGATACACTGCCGATTTTGCAGGTTTTCCTACTTACAAGGCATGTAGAGGTCTGTAATTTTTATCATAGGTACACTTCAACTGTGAGAGACGGAATCTAAAACAAAAATCCAGAAAATCACATTGTATGATTTTTAAGTAATTAATTTGCATTTTATTGCATGACATAAGTATTTGATACATCAGAAAAGCAGAACTTAATATTTGGTACAGAAACCTTTGCTTGCAATTACAGAGATCATACGTTTCCTGTAGGTCTTGACCAGGTTTGCACACACTGCAGCAGGGATTTTGGCCCACTCCTCCATACAGACCTTCTCCAGATCCTTCAGGTTTCGGGGCTGTCGCTGGGCAATATGGACTTTCAGCTCTCTCCAAAGATTTTCTATTGGGTTCAGGTCTGGAGACTGGCTAGGCCACTCCAGGACCTTGAGATGCTTCTTACGGAGCCACTCCTTAGTTGCCCTGGCTGTGTGTTTTGGGTCGTTGTCATGCTGGAAGACCCAGCCACGACCCATCTTCAATGCTCTTACTGAGGGAAGGAGGTTGTTGGCCAAGATCTCGCGATACATGGCCCCATCCATCCATCCTCCCCTCAATACGGTGCAGTCGTCCTGTCCCCTTTCCAGAAAAGCATCCCCAAAGAATGATGTTTCCACCTCCATGCTTCACGGTTGGGATGGTGTTCTTGGGGTTGTACTCATCCTTCTTCTTCCTCCAAACACGGCGAGTGGAGTTTAGACCAAAAAGCTCTATTTTTGTCTCATCAGACCACATGACCTTCTCCCATTCCTCCTCTGGATCATCCAGATGGTCATTGGCAAACTTCAGACGGGCCTGGACATGCGCTGGCTTGAGCAGGGGGACCTTGCGTGCGCTGCAGGATTTTAATACATGATGGCGTAGTGTGTTACTAATGGTTTTCTTTGAGACTGTGGTCCCAGCTCTCTTCAGGTCATTGACCAGGTCCTGCCGTGTAGTTCTGGGCTGATCCCTCACCTTCCTCATGATCATTGATGCCCCACGAGGTGAGATCTTGCATGGAGCCCCAGACCGAGGGTGATTGACCGTCATCTTGAACTTCTTCCATTTTCTAATAATTGCACCAACAGTTGTTGCCTTCTCACCAAGCTGCTTGCCTATTGTCCTGTAGCCCATCCCAGCCTTGTGCAGGTCTACAATTTTATCCCTGGTGTCCTTACACAGCTCTCTGGTCTTGGCCATTGTGGATAGGTTGGAGACTGTTTGATTGAGTGTGTGGACAGGTGTCTTTTATACAGGTAATGAGTTCAAACAGGTGCAGTTAATACAGGTAATGAGTGGAGAACAGGAGGGCTTCTTAAAGAAAAACTAACAGGTCTGTGAGAGCCGGAATTCTTACTGGTTGGTAGGTGATCAAATACTTATGTCATGCAATAAAATGCAAATTAATTACTTAAAAATCATACAATGTGATTTTCTGGATTTTTGTTTTAGATTCCGTCTCTCACGTGTACCTATGATAAAAATGACAGACCTCTACATGCTTTGTAAGTAGGAAAACCTGCAAAATCGGCAGTGTATCAAATACTTGTTCTCCCCACTGTATATGGTTGAATCCTCAGCATACATGGACAAACAGGCTTTTTTTAATGCCAGTGGCAGGTCATTGGTAAAAATAGAAAAGAGTAGAGGGCCTAGAGAGCTGCCATGTGGTACAGCACACCCTACATGTTTAACATTAGAGATGCTTCCATTAAAGAAAACTCTGAGTTTAGTTAGATAGCTCTGAATCCAAGATATGGCAGAGGTTGAAAATCCATAAAACATAAGTTTTCTCAACAACAGGTTATGGTCAATATCAAAGGCTGCACTGAAATCTGACAGTACAGCTGCCACAGTCTTCTTATTATCAATTACTTTCAACCAATCATCATTAATTTGTGTCAGTGCAGTACATGTTGAGTGCCCTTCTCTATAAGCATGCTGAAAGTCTGTTGTCAATTTGTTTAAAGAGAAATAGCATTGTATTTGGGCAAACACAACAGTTTGCTAAGAGCTGGCAACAAGCTGATAGGTCTGCTGTTAGAACCAGTAAAGGTCGCTTTACCACTCTTGGGTAGCGGAATGACTTTGGCTTCCCTCCAGGCCTGAGGACAAAGACTTTCCTCTAGGCTCAGATTAAAGATATGACTGCTAGGAGTGGCCATAGTGAGTTACCATCCTCAGTAACTTTCCATCTAAGTTGTCCATGCCAGGAGGTTTATAACAATAATTTTTCCACCTCTCCCACACTAACTTTACAAAATTCAAACTTGCAATGCTTTTCTTTCATTCTTTGTTTTTTAATGCGTGAATACGATAGCTCACTGTTCATTGTTGGCATTTCCTGAATAACGTAATCATTAAAATAATTAACATCAAATGGTTTTATGATGAATAAACCATCTGATTCAATGAACGATGGAGTTGAATTTTGTAAGGATTGTACCCTTTTTTTTAATTTTCGCCTAAAATGACACCCAAATCTAACTGCCTGTAGCTCAGGACCTGAAGCAAGGATATGCATATTCTTGACACCATTTGAAAGGAAAGACTTTGATGTTTGTGGAAATGTGAAATTAGTGTAGGTGAATATAACACATTAGATCTGGTAAAAGATAATACAAACCAAAAAACATGCATTTTCAATCATCTTTGAAATGCAAGGGAAAGGCTGCAATATAATATTGCAGTTTAGGCGCAATTTAGATGTTGGCCACTAGATGGCAGCAGTGTGTTCAAAGTTTCAGATAGATCCAGTGAAGCATTGCAATACTGGACTATTTTGTATGAAGTCTGCCCAAATGTGCCGAATTGGTCAATTGATACATTTCCAAGTACATAACTATAGAGAACATACAAAAATTATATGGTAATACATTTACATTTACGTCATTTAGCAGACGCTCTTATCCAGAGCGACTTACAAATTGCTGCATTCAACTTATGATAGCCAGTGGGACAACCACTTTTTTTGTATTATTATTATTATCATTTTTTGTGGGGGGGGGTAGAAGGATTACTTTTCTACTATTCCAGGTATTCCTTAAAGAGGTAGGGTTTCAAGTGTCTCCGGAAGGTGGTCAGTGACTCCGCTGTCCTGGCGTCGTGGGGGAGCTTGTTCCACCATTGGGGTGCCAGAGCAGCGAATAGCTTTGACTGGGCTGAGCAGGGACCGTGCTTCCGTAGAGGTAAGGGGGCTAGCAGGCCAGAGGTGGATGAACGTAGTGCCCTCGTTTGGGTGTAGGGTCTGATCAGAGCCTGAAGGTAAGGAGGTGCCGTTCCCCTCACAGCGCCGTAGGCAAGCACCATGGTCTTGTAGTAGATGCGAGCCTCAACTGGAAGCCAGTGGAGTGTGCGGAGGAGCGGGGTGACATGAGAGAACTTGGGAAGGTCGAACACCAGACGGGCTGCAGCGTTCTGGATAAGTTGTAGGGATTTAATGGCACAGGCAGGGAGCCCAGCCAACAGCGAGTTGCAGTAATCCAGACGGGAGATGACAAGTGCCTGGATTAGGACCTGTGCCGCTTTCTGTGTAAGGTAGGGTCGTACTCTGCGAATGTTGTAGAGCATGAACCTGCAGGATCGGGTCACCGCAGCTCCGTCTTGCCGAGGTTCAGCTTGAGGTGGTGATCCGACATCCACACTGATATGTCTGCCAGACATGCAGAGATGCGATTCGCCACCTGGTTATCAGAAGGGGGAAAGGAGAAAATTAATTGTGTGTCGTCTGCGTAGCGATGATAGGAGAGACCATGTGAGGATATGACAGAGCCAAGTGACTTGGTGTATAGAGAGAATAGGAGAGGGCCTAGAACTGAGCCCTGGGGGACACCAGTGGTGAGAGCACGTGGTGCGGAGACAGATTCTCGCCACGCCACCTGGTAGGAGCAACTTGTCAGGTAGGACGCAATCCAAGAGTGAGCAGCGCCGGAGATGCCCAACTTGGAGAGGGTGGAGAGGAGGATCTGATGGTTCACAGTATCAAAGGCAGCATATAGGTCTAGAAGGATGCAGAGGAGAGTGAGTTTTTTTTTTCTTCTTTTTTTTTAATGGGGTAGATCAGCTTAATATTGCAGATTGATGGAAGTTACAATCTATGTAATTGTCTGCATCACTTCCAATCCCCCATGTTTTTATATATATATATATATATATACACATAGTGGCACAGTGGTCTAAGGCACTGCATCGCAGTGCTAGCAGTACTAGCTGTGCCACTAGAGATCCTGGTTCGAATCCAGGCTCTGTCGTAGCCGGCCGTGACCGGGAGACCCATGGGGCGGCGCACAATTGGCCCAGCGTCGTCCAGGGTAGGGGAGGGAATGGCAGGCAGGGATGTTGGTAGAGCATGACGTTTGCAACGCCAGGGTTGTGGGTTCGATTCCCGCGGGGGGCCAGTATGAAAAAATATATATAATATGTATGCACTCACTAACTGTATGTCGCTCTGGATAAGAGCGTCTGCTAAATGACTAAAATGTAAAATGTAAATGTACATACATACATATCCTTTAAAAAATATATATTCCCCTTTATTACTTTCCAACCCCACCACCATTTCCCTACTTGGAGTAAACTAGTGAACAGGAGAGGAGAGAGAGTTAGCTTTAGCAGTGCGGAGAGCCTCCGTGACACAGAGAAGAGCAGTCTCAGTTGAATAACCAGTCTTGAAACCTGACTGGTTTGGATCAAGAAGGTCATTCTGAGAGAGATAGCAGGAGAGTTGGCTAGAGACGGCACGCTCAAGAGTTTTGGAGAGAAAATAAATAAGGGATACTGGTCTGTAGTTGTTTACATCGGAGGGATCGAGTGTAGGTTTTTTGAGGAGGGGTGCAACTCTCACTCTCTTGAAGACGGAAGGGACATGGCCAGCGGTCAAGGATGAGTTGATGAGCAAGGTGAGGTAAGGGAGAAGGTCTCCGGAAATGGTCTGGAGAAGAGAGGAGGGGATAGGGTCAAGCGGGCAGGTTGTTGGGTGGCTGACCGTCACAAGTCGCAAGATTTCATCTGGAGAGAGAGAGGGGAGAAAGAAGTCAAAGCATAGGGTAGGGCAGTGTGAGCAGGACCAGTGATGTCATTTGACTTAATAAATGAGGATCGGATGTCGTCAACCTTCTTTTCAAAATGGTTGACGAAGTCATCCAATGGTTGACGTAATACAAAATGTAAGTTTAAGCACTCCCAGGAATGTCATACATGATGGATCATTAGCTTATACACTAACTTTCACACATTTAGATGGCGGGGTGGGTGTGGAGCCAGAGAACCGGGGTTCAAACTGTAGAATATAAAAATAGATTTTATCGAACAAAACTATGCTACATTTTATCTCTGGGACCCTTAGGATGATAAATCAGATTACTGAATGATCGTGGGCTTCAGGAAACAGCAGAGGGTGCACCCCCCTATCCACATCAACGGGACCGCAGTGGAGAAGTTGGAAAGCTTCAAGTTCCTTGGCGTACACATCACTGACAAACTGAAATTATCCACCCATGCAGACAGTGTGGTGAAGAAGGCGCAACAGAGCCTCTTCAATCTCAGGAGGCTGAAGAAATTTAGCTTGGCACCTAAAACCCTCACAAACTTTTACAGATGCACAATTGAGAGCATCCTGTCTGGCTGTATCACCGCCTGGTACGGCAACTGCACCGCCCGCAACCGCAGGGCTCTCCAGAGGGTGGTGTGGTCTGCCGAACGCATTACCGGGGGCAAACTACCCGCCCTCCAAGACACCTACAGCACCCGATGTCACAGGAAGGCCAAAAAGATAATCAAGGACATCAACCACCCGAGCCACTGCCTGTTCACCCCGCTATCATCCAGAAGGCGAGGTCAGTACAGGTGCATCAAAGCTGGGACTGAGAGAATGGAAAAACAGCTTCTATCTCAAGACCATCAGACTGTTAAATAGCCATCACTAGCACATTAGAGGCTGCTGCTGCCTATTGAAATCACTGGACACTTTAAGAAATGGAACACTAGTCACTTTAATAATGTTTACATATCTTGCACTACTCATCTCATATGTATATATTGTATTCTATTCTATAATATTCTACTGTATCTTAGTCCATGCCGCTCTGTCATTGCTTGTCCATATATGTATATATTCTTAAATTCCATTCCTTACTAGATTTGTGTGTATTGGGTATATGTTGTGAAATTGTTAGATATTACTTGTTAAATATTACTGCACTGTCGGAGCTAGAAGCATAAGCATTTCGCTACACCCGCAATAACATCTGCTAAACATGTGTATGTGACAAATAAAATTTGATTTGATTTGAATGTAAGTACATTATTTACCTTCAGAGGTGAATGTATCAAACCAGTTGCCGTGATAAGTTTTTTGTTGTTGTGCACTCTCCTCAAACAATAGCATGGTATTTTTTCAATGTAATAGCTACTGTAAATTGGACAGTGCAGTTAGATTAACAAGAATTTAAGCTTTCTGCCCATATAAGACATGTCTATGTCCTGGAAAGTTTGCTGTTACTTATGACAGTCATGCTAATCACATTAGCTCACGTTAGCTCAACCGTCCCGTATATGGGACACTGATCCCATAGAGGTTAAAGTACTCAAAAGTTTTGATCTTGACTTCATAATACAGTTTATTTTTCTTTTTGTTCAGTTTAGTCACATAATTTCTCAATTTGCAGTAAGTCAGCCAGTCAGATGTGCAGCCAGGCTTATTAGTCACTTATTGATGGCTGCCTTGCTGCGATTATAACTAGTCCCTCATCCATCATCCACCTCACCTGGCCCTTGTGGTCGCCATGACAATGGCCATGCGTCCTGAAGGTCGTCAAGGCGACGAGAGGCCAGGGAGCGTGCCAATTGGCCATGCGCAACTCAAAGACCTATCCTGTTCTGAATCTGAACTGATGATGATTCAGGACTTTATGGGCTCTCTGCTTTACTGAAGGCGGCAGCTATTCTCTCACAGCTCTACAGCTCGCCATAGAAAAGGACAAGCCCTCTTAGCACTTGTTTCCATTCTGTTGAATGATTTTGTGTATAAACTAATGATTTAGTATTGAATCAGGTCCTTCTGGACTCTTTCTAGGCCAGCAGTGCCCACAGCCTTTTCTTCTTCCTCTCGATTCACCTTGCTGAATATTGACAGCATTGTCTCTAAGCAGTGGCAAGGAAACAAAGCACATGTAACTTCTTTAGGAAAACAGCCCTAATGTTGGAAACAAACATCATGTTGTTGTCCTCATAGTCACATTTATTTATTTTCCAAGTTATAGCGCAATATTTTACATACAGCAGGTTTTTAAAGGACCAAAGAGTTTGATCTGCTTTGTGTTTTCATTTTTGCCATGGACATTTTTTTGCGATTCTAGTATCGTCACAGCCCTAGTCTTAGATCAGTTGAGTGTTTTAGTGGATGATAGTAAGTTTGCCATTAAAGATTAGTAATTACCCTAACCCTAATTATGAACCCACTCATGAATACTGATTCTAGATCAGATTATGGGAGCTCCAGTCAGATGAAATATGAGGGAAAGCTGACATTTGAACAGATTAGGATGCCGATGATTACTGATGGGGATTGTTTTTATTAAAGCTTATCCCAGTACAGAACATCCCTCCTCCCTTCCCCCTCCTCACCTTCCCCTCCTCCTCTCCCCCGGTGCAGTGTTTCAGAGACCCTTGTGTAATTAACATGGAGACGTCTTTAGTAGAGGGGGAGGGATGGAGGGATAGAAGAGGATGAGGGAGGGGTGGAGGTGGGCCGGTCCTATCTCAGCTTGAAGGACAAAGACGTTGGGTTTTGGCGAGGAAAGAGAGGGAGCCACCATGTGTGAGGGACAAAGGAGAAGAGGCCTTAATCAGGACTCCCTCTCTCTCTCTCTCTCCTTCTCCCTTACTTTCTCACTCACCGAACTAGGCCTAATCCTAATGATGCTAGCTCACTCCAGTCCTTTATTCAAATGACAGTTTGGGCTGTCTGTCTGACATGACAGCAAGTTTTACATATAGGCCCAGTGACACACACACACACACATACAGACACAAAATATTAGCTCTTTTTAATCTTGCACCAAAACAGTTTTTAACACATGATTGTATTTAGAATTGTTGCGCAATGAATGGGCCTGTAAAAGCACATGTTTTACTCCAGCAGCAACCAGCTGAGGAGCTGCAGGAGAAATCCCTTTCAAATTAGGGTCTGTATGCTGTGTGTGTGTGATAGTTGTGTTGGATAAATAAGATTATATGATGACTAACGAAAATACACACAAGCCAATTTAATTCCACTAAATTATGCACATTAACCTATAGACCGATAACCATGATGGTCAAATGAATTTACATCGACTGGTAATTCAAAAATCATATTTCTGGCTAACGGAAACCCTGACACACGCACTCATCATGAACACCCTTGATTATTACATAAACACCCAGCATAGCTGCCCTAAATATACACATACTCATGGTCTCCTATTCACATAATCTCCTACGTATGCACTCTGATAATGATATTCTATCTCTAATCTACTACTATGCATTCATGTGTACAACATTCAGATTCATGCAATATGTTAAGGATACTACTGAATTAATAATCAGGCGCTCTTACCAGACTGTGGGTATCATGCTTAATCAGTGTCATCATTAAAATGAAAAGATGTTGCAGTTCGGTGCGTGCCTGATTTGTTTGCTGGCCATTGCGCAGATTTTTTTCCCCAATTAATATGGAAGTTTGCTGAATGTTCATGTAATTACAACCCACACACATAGATAGGCCTAATATTTTGGGTACCCTATATGGTTGAATGTGGTTAGATGATTCCCTGTACTGTAGGTAGGTGAATTCACCTGGTGTGTGTTCATTAGTGTTGCTGCTGCACAGGCAGGTATACACACAGCTGTCTCCAGAGTAATGGTTCTTATTCATTTCAATTTGTGGAGCTGCCACATTGGAGCTGCCCTTATTCCCCTTAGCCTACCGCTCCTTCTGTGGGGGATGTGTGTGTGTGTGTGTTTAACAGCAGGTTTTATGGGGGACCATAATAGACAACCCCATTTGATAGGTCTTTTCCCAGTGCCCCCTTCCTTCCTCCATCTCCCCCTCCCCCTCCCCTTCGCCTTCTCTCCTCTCTCCAGCAGCAGTCAGTCAGTGGGTGCGTTTCTCTGCCCAGGCATTGTTGACGCATGCCAGGTCTTAACGCCTGGATAGGTATTTTAAGTATCAGCTAACCACATATGTTATAGCAATCTCACCCTTAGCAGCATTGGAAAAAAGCGGATGTTGCCGGTTTTCAGGAATACAGTATTTTTAACATAACTTCCGATTCCTCTGCTCAGGCGTCTTTCTTCACCTGATACGTTATGTTAGAGCAATCTGGTACCCGACAGCACAGTTGATGACGTGGCACGCAACTATTGGTTGATGCATGCAACGTCTGAGCAGGGGAACGCGACCAGTGTTTCGCAGGGCTCCTGACATCACTCACTGTTTGCATAGCTATAGACTTACCCACCGGCCTGCCTACAGGATTGCAGTATCTGCTTTCAGCTTTTTTACCCGGGACAGCTCGCCTCTCGTTCTCGGCTGCACGGACATATACAAAGCGAGAACGAGCGAGAGAAACAGAGGATAGTAGGAGACAACAAGAGGAGTAGAGGAAAGTGAGAGCTAGCTGCAGCAGGCAGGCAGCTCCTTCTCTGTCTGGATTTTAACACGTTTGTTTTCTGTGGAGAAGGATTTCTATTGTTGGAGGGTTTTTCTTCCCTCTCCTGAGGCCCCTGTTCAGCGGCTGGACTGAGTGTGTGTGTGTGTTTTGGGAGCTGTGTGTGTGGAGGAAGGCCGTTTAGCGGCTACGGGAGCGGAGCGCCAAGCTTGCGAGCGAGCGGAGCATCTGGGTGTCTGAAAGCCAGGGCAGGCCGGCTGGCTGCATTGTGTGCTTTGATGACCCCCGCTGTGTAGCTGCCTGCTCATCAACCCCCCTCCCTCTCTCTCTCCCTCCCTCTTCCCTCTCTCCCTCTCTCCTCTATCTCCATCGCAGCTCCCGGCCCAGCCATGTTTGGCACAGAGTCCTCATGTAAGTACCGTATCGCCATCCTCCAGCCTCATCTGTCTTTCTCTCTGTGTGTTGTGTATTATTGTCTGGTGTTACGGTGTCTGCTCGCTTCATTCTGCGCTCTCCCTGTCCTCTCTCCATCCCTCTCTTTTTCCCCTTTCTCTGTCCTTCGTGTTGTTTTCAATGTTTCCTGATGACAGATTGCTCGGCAAGAAAGCTGGGATCTACCATTTTGCATAAAGGGTCTATGATAGATTTTTGCATCACAATCAGCTATCTCTCTCTCAATCCCTTCCTCCGCCTTACTTCCCTCCCCTCCTTTATTTCAGTTTTTTTCCCCACCAGTCTTCCTGCACGCCTCCATGTTTATCCCAGATTTATCCTGTGATGCAGTGTATTCTCTTCTCACATCTCTAAATGGAATGGCTTGGCTAGCTAGCCTGAAATAGACACAGTTACTGACTCTCTCTGTGTGCATGTTATATGCGTGCATTCCACGTAATGTTTTATAGATAGATGAATGGATCAGGTTTTTCTACAGTTTGCTTTCAGAACCCTCCTGCCATTGCAGGTAGTTTTCTCAATCTCAATCTCCATCACTCTCCTGCTCAGTCAGGTGACATTGAGAGGGGTGAATGTAGCATTTCCACATGCTACATGTGCTAAAAGTTAGGAGCACCAGAAAATATTTACCTGTATTGGGCCTTTATGTATTCTAGCTACTTCTGAAGCACATGTTGTGCCCTATAAACTATGTAACAATGTAAATACATTTATTTATTATAAAAAGCTAAAATGTTGATGAATGGAAGAGATCAGTCATTAATGAATTGCTATGATCATTGATCTCCAGAAGAAACTATCCCTTTCTTTCTGTGTCCTCAAACGTTCGGATATACACTACTGGTCAAAAGTTTTAGAACACCTACTCATTCAAGGGTTTTTCATTATTTTTACTATTTTCTACATTGGAGAATAATAGTGAAAACATCAAAACTATGAAATAACACATATGGAATCATGTAGTAACCAGAAAAGTGTTAAACAAATCAAAATATATTTTATATTTGAGATTCTTCAAATAGCCACCCTTTGCCTTGATGTCAGCTTTGCACACTCTTGGCATTCTCTCAACCAGCTTCACCTGGAATGCTTTTCCAACAGGCTTGAAGGAGTTCCCACATATGCTGAGCACTTGTTGGCTGCTTTTCCTTCACTCTGCGGTCCGACTCATCCCAAACCATCTCAATTTGGTTGAAGTTGGGGGATAGTGGAGGCCAGGTCATCTGATGCAGCACTCCATCACTCTCCTTCTTGGTAAAATAGCCCTTACACGGCCTGGAGGTGTGTTGGGTCATTGTCCTGTTGAAAAACAAATGATCGTCCCACTAAGCCCAAACCAGATGGGATGGCGTATTGCTGCAGAATGCTGTGGTAGCCATTCTGGTAAAGTGTGCCTTGAATTCTAAATAAATCACAGACAGTGTCACCATAACACCTCCTCCATGCTTTACGGTGGGAAATACACATGCGGAGATCATCCGTTCACCCACACCACGTCTCACAAAGACACGGCGGTTGGAACCAAAAATCTCAAATTTGGACTCCTTACCAAAGGACACATTTCCACCGGTCTAATGTCCATTGCTCGTGTTTCTTGGCCCAAGCAAGTCTCTTCTTATTATTGGTGTCCTTTGGTAGTGGTTTCTTTGCAGCAATTCGACCATGAAGGCCTGATTCACACAGTCTCCTCTGAACAGTTGATGTTGAGCTGTGTCTGTTACTTGAACTCTGTGAAGCATTTATTTGGGCTGCAATTTCTGAGGCTGGTAACTCTAATGAACTTATCCTCTGCAGCAGAGGTAACTCTGCGTCTTCCTTTCCTGTGGCGGTCCTCTTGAGAGCCAATTTCATCATAGCGCTTGGTGGTTTTTGCGACTGCACTTGAAGAAACCTTCAAAGTTCTTGAAATGTTGTCTTAAAGTAATGATGGACTGTCGTTTCTCTTTGCTTATTTGTTATTAGTTTTGATGTCATCACTATTATTCTACAATGTAAAAATATTAAAAATATAGAAAAACCCTTGAATGAGTAGGTGTACTAAAACTTTTGACCGGTAGTGTAAATTAGACCAACTTCTATGCCTGTGCACAGCGCTTCTAAAATTGAAACTTTCACTCAGCTCTTCACGTGCGCACAGCCCCCAGCCAGGCAGTGTTGCAGCTCGAGGTGGGATAGGCTATATAGGATTAATTTACCATCTATGACATGAAACGGCAGACATTTTGAAAACAGCTACTGCCGCATTTATTTTACTATAAATGTGATCATACTTGACTGTTTTTATTCATAAATGCGAGTGAAATGCTTGCACTGTGGAGCCCTGACCACCCGCCAACATGGCTAGTGAAATTAACATCTTACCGGCCAATGCCAAAATCTATCCGCATTTATCAGGTGGCAGGTGTTAATTTTAGGCCCCGGACGGTCACAGTAAGCACACACATACAACTCATACAAGCAACAGTACACTTATCTGTACTTTTAATAAAAAAATAAAAAATCGTCAGTTTTATAACTGAAAATGTACAATTATTTGTGTAAACAAACAGTAAAATACGACTCAGACTCATCCAAACTCTCGTGGTATGGTAGTTGCGTGTCAAGAAACGGACAGAAACACAGCTCAATCAAAACCGTCTAACCTGTAGCAGAGTGCGTTCAACACATCCACTCCTTTCCACACGCCCACTACGTTCCTTTCGACACACCCACTCCTTTCCACACGCCCACATCTTTCCTTTCGTCAGCTACCCCCTTCTCAATCGTACAGCAAAATTTAGGAGTAAGTTCATTCGGAAAGTATTCAGACCCTTTCACTTGTTCCACATTTCGTTACGTTACAGCCTTATTCTAAAATGGATTAAAAATATATATCAATCTACACACAATACCCCCATAATGACAAAGCGAAAACAGGTTTTCCATTTTTTTTGCACATTGATTACATCTCCTTGAGATGTTTCTACAACTTGATTGGAGTCCACCTGTGGTAAAATCAATTGATTGGACATGATTTGGAAAAGCACGCACCTGTCTATATAAGGTCCCACAGTTGACAGTGCATGTCAGAGCAAAAACCAAGCCATGAGATCGAAGGAATGGTCCGTAGAGCTCCGAGACAGGATTGTGTATGCAACATTGAAGGTCCCCAAGAACACAGTTTGGAACCACCAACACCCGGCCAAACTGAGCAATCGGGGGAGAAGGGCCTTGGTCAGGGAGGTGACCAAGAACCCGATGGTCACTCTGACAGAGCTCCAGAGTTCCTCTGTGGAGATGGGAGAACCTTCCAGAAGGACAAACATCTCTGCAGCACTCTACCAATCAGGCCATTATGGTAGAGTGGCCAGACGGAAGCCACTCCTCAGTAAAAGGCACATGACAGCCCGCTTGGAGTTTGCCAAAAAGGACTCTCAGACCATGAGAACAAGATGTTATGGTCTGATGAAACCAAGATTGAACTCTTTGGCCTGAATGCCAAGAGTCTTGTCTGGAGGAAACCAGGCACCGCTCATCACCTGGCCAATACTGTCCCTACGGTGAAGCATGGTGATGGCAGCATCATGCTGTGAGGATGTTTTTCAGCGGCAGGGACTGGGAGACTAGTCAGGACCAAGGGAAAGATGAGTGGAGCAAAGTACAAAGGGATCCTTGATGAAAACCTGCTCCAGAGTGCTCAGGACCTCAAACTCGGACGAAGGTTCACCTTCCAACAGGACAATGACCCTAAGCACACATCCAAGACAATGCAGGAGTGCCTTCGGGAATAGTCTCTGAATGTCCTTGAGTGGCCCAGCCAGAGCCCGGACTTGAACCCGATCAAACATATCTGGAGAGACCTGAAAATAACTGCAGAGACGCTCCCCATCCAACCTGACAGAGCTTGAGAGGATCTACAGAGAAGAATGGGATAAACTCCCCAAATACAGGTGTGCCAAGCTTGTAGCGTCATACCCAAGAAGACTCTAGGCTGTAAACGCTGCCAAAGGTGCTTCAACAAAGTACTATTTAAAGGGTCTGAATACTTTATGTAAATGTCAGTTTCATTTCTAAAAACCTGTTTTTACTTTGTCATTATGGGGTATTGTATGTAGATTGATGAGGAAAAAAAATATGTAATCCATTTAAGAATAAGGCAGTAACGTAACACAATTTGGAAAAAGTAAAGGGGTCTGAATTCTTTCTGAATGCACTTTATATGCAAAAAAAATGGTCGCATTTAGAGCCCTGGCTAGCATACATGCTATCTTAGGCTTGATGTATAGCAGCAGTGTTTGGATTGGTGTGGGCGGGCACCTCACTGTAGACCAGGGGTTGAGTGTTTTCTTCGTTTTTTGGGAGGGGCCCCCCAAAGTTTTTAGCAATTGTCTTTCATTTAGGGAATCCGTTAAAGTATTCCCACAAGTAAAAAAATTAATATGTGACCGTGTCTTAATGTAACAAAGGTATGAAATGATTGTTATTTTCAAATATATTCTCTTTCTGGGCTTAGTTGTGGTCAATTTTCAGTGTGTAAATTATTATAATTAGGTTCCGGCCCCCCGACCATCCACTCCGACAAAAATCAGCCCCCGGCTGAATCTAGTTGCCTACCCTTGCTGTAGACTGTACCCCCCCCCCCCCCCCCCCCCCCTCCTCACCGTCAGTTTGAGGAGCTGTCACACTGATCTGCAGGTGGTCCGCTGTTCCAGCTAATCTACTTGCCCCCCTCACCCCTGTCCTCTGTCCCCGTGAGAGGACCCCTTCCCCTTTTTGATCAGTCCCATGATGCCCCTGAATCTACCAGCACGATGCCACAAGGAATTTCCATGGCTGTGATCTAATAGAAATTGTTGTGGTCACACAGTCACAGTGCCAAAGTTAGGCTACTTCTTTCTCTCTCCTGGAAGTCAGATTAGAGATTGCGTGCAATAGTCCAGCAGCAAGCAACCAGAGTCCCTTTCTGTTACCAGTTTCCCTGGCTTCTAAACAGAGAGCGGAGTGGAGTGGACTAGTCATGCATCAAAATGCAGTTTCCTCGTATCATATCATCTGAATTTAATATTTTCATTTGAGAAATTGTATGGTGGTTAAGTGGATACGGATGTTCTGTTATCTATCTGAAGATTTGATTTCAACAGTTGTTTGAGTCCTGTTCCGCAGGAGTCTCGCTAAAGGTCGTTCTGACCTGTTGTTGTCTTTAAGAACTTAGTGTAGGTCTGAAGCCAAAAGTTGCATCAGTGGAGGGTCATTACATGCCACTATTAATCAACTACTACAATGCTTAGTGTACCTGGTGTGTCAGAAAGCAGAGTCAGTGAGTTGGCACACATACACACAGGTTTGTTGTTAGGTTTGGGTATTGACTGCTGCTGCTCTTTCCTGGTTTCATTTCAATTGCCTTTTGCACTACACTGTAGAGTGTAGAGGTTGCTATGGGAAATGCACCTAGAAATGGTGGATGTACATAATGTACAGAGTGGATACAGAACAGCACCAAAAGGAGGCTGAATGTGTTGTTGTGTTGATTTTGCGAGGGTATGTGTTTTGGTAAAGAATGAGCTGACTACAGCCACACAAGTCTGACCCCATGGTCCAAGCCACCTTACTTTACTGTGATGGGTCACTTTTATCCTTTGGCCATCATATTAGACTGAACCACTTACCCAACTGAGATATTTTATAGACCAAGAAACTCATCTTATAATGGCGTCCTTGTGTATGTATTGTGTGAGGCACTGCATTTTTTTTGGTGAAGGTGACCTGTAGTTAAAGACTGAGTGGTATTGATTGATTGATCTCTGCCTCAGTATGCAGCTTTGGTATGAAAACTGCTAACCATATGATATCAGCAGTCTAAGATGGACACCACTACAATATACTCACATAGTATGATAATGTTCATGTGTAGGCCATTACAATATACCTGGCTGCACAGTCAGATGACAACATATAAATGCACACTTATTAATATGAGAATATAATATAATACGCCTATCACTTGGACTTCATTTGTTTGCTACGCTGCTAAAAATAAGGGTGCTTTGCACAGTTCTATATATCATTATAAACTTTTTGAGAGCCATATGAAGCAATCACCATCGCTTCTAGCAGTGTACAGTGTAGTGTAGCAACTTCAGTTGCCACAAAGAAGTGCATCAAGTCAGAACTGGAGTGGGGGACTACCACCACTTGTGGACGTTAGTTGACGCCTGTTGTCCAAACAGTTCCTGGCCATGCATGGGTCTATTCTAGTTGTTGTTTGTTGAGCCTCAGGGCAGTGTAGGGTTAGCTAGGTGCTTACTGAAAGGGGCAGTATGATAAAGGCATACACAACTCTGAAGGCAACCAGCTGCCTCTCTCTGTTGCAGTGGTTACCAGGCCTGCCTCCGAGTGGTAGAAACGGATAGCTCAGGGTCAGGTTCCTGTGGTAACTGCTGACTACTGCAATTTTTGTTCTAGTAGCTAGGTTTCCATCCAAATGGTGACAGATTTTCATACGAATATTCTAAAATCCGCATAAAAATGATATATGCATTTTCCCAATTGTGGTGTGTTTCCATCAAACTGACTTGTTGCGGATAAAATGCTGAACATTATGACGTAGTCCACATAAAAAGCACTTTTGCGGTTAATGGCACCCTCCAGAGGAAGTTACTGCCCCTATTTCGACTTAATTCCTGTCCTAGAGCGGAAAAGAATAACCTAGGCTCCTAATACATATTCACGAATTGGGGGTGGGAACATCGTGGAGTTGAGAAAAAACAACAAATAGGGCATTGACAGCTGTCAGTGTACCTAGCTAGCATGCTAACCTCATCTAGCTAGCTATCTTGCTAACCTTATCTAGCTAGCTATCTTGCTAACCTTATCTACTTAGCTAATGTTATCTGTTGTTGCTGTTTTTTTTAACTACACCATATTCAAAAGATTAGCCAGCTGGCTAGGCTATGGCTGGTTCTGGAGCTGGATTTGTCATAAGCATTTAGGGAAAACTTCTCCACAGATGGACGGGGGAAACCAGTATCTTTGAGTTTGCCATCTGTTATCTCCAAAGTTTTGGCATTTTCCATAAATTGCGGCTGTGAATCCGCCATATAAATAGTTCGAAAGATGAAGCTCCGGTAATATGGATAACTGAGGGTTACTTTCGTAACCCATTCTTTTATAATATGAGTGAGATGTATCACTATGGGGAATCGCCAGGATCACCAATACTCTCGGAAGGACCTAACAAAAGCATCTGCTGGAGACAGACCGGTAGAGTGGCGAATGAGGTGAGCCACTTACCGCCTTATAATGAGCCACTCTCCTGCCCTCTGGTCATTCTCAAGCATGCTTCTCTTCCTCGCACTCTTGCGAGCAGGAGAATGTTGTGATACATCATTCATATTATCAGAAAATCAGGGTTACGAAAGTAACCTTAAATTCTCTTTCAAAAACTAGTTTCAATGTATAACTATGGGGATATGGCCAACTCCCGTATCGCAAAACATGCTCTCCGAAGCCAGCGTAGTCCCAACATCAGGGAGTGCTCACAAAGTAGGTGCAGAAACAAGCCGTCGAGGGGAAAAAAACTCATAACAAAGTGAGGGGAAGCCCAATACGTGGCGCACAAAATCTCAGTTTAATGAGATATGTCCCAAAAACAGTGCCCAAGAGGTAAACTCTATAAGAGCGGACCCTTTCAGGCCCTCGCCATTATAAATTAATATAATAGCCCCCATGATCCAGCAAGATACCTCTTTCGAGGGTGATTGCCCAAAGAGCTAAGAGCATAACACCCTTGCATAACACCCCCTTGAGGAATATTACATCTCTATGCTTCACAGCGGCTAGTAGCTGCTCTGAAAGGATCTTAATCACAATAGACGACATGTCCCAGAACGAGCTAAAGTCTTAGAGACTGGGTGTAAGCGACGTGCCCCCCCTAAAAACAACATAACAGTTATGGATAAACTGCAGACATAGAGGAGCCCAAACTACAACGGAGGAGGGGCGGCTTCACTGCTCTCGGGGCCTGAAGGCGGGAGATCGGTGTTGTCAGCCCCCATCTCCTAAACTATCTCGAGGATATCCGTGAGATTAATCACATCGTCATCCTCGTCATCCCATAGCTCGCCTTCCCCTGACACGACGTCGTCAGACTGTGAGGGGAGGGAATCAAGGCTATCCATGACCTTGCCCCAACTCGGTTCGGTTGCGGGGAGCAGAGCCTTCGCTGTTGGCTCGGAGGCGAGAGGGGCTATAGAGAGAGCTTGTTTAAGCCTCCTCCCCAGACCTGCAGTTTGCAGTGCTCACAGGACTCGGCATGTTCCTTTCCCAAGCAATTGATGCATTGAGGGTGGGAATCCTTCCATGCAATCATGGAACCGCAAGCGCAAAAACGTGGGGGTTTGAGTGCTGGGCTAGGCTCATCTTGGGATGGGATAGTAGTGGCCATTGTGAGGAACAAGGCTTGCTAGGAGAAAGAAGCAACGCCTGTTGTAAGAACAACGTGTAGACGCTGTAGGCTAGCTAGTTAGAAGCCTCGTGGCTGGTGGCTAGCAGACGGTAGCTTGTGTAAACAGCGTTATAAGCTAGCTAGTTAGAAGCCTTGCGGCTAATAGCTAGCAATAATAAGCACAGTAGAACGCTATAACCTTTAGAACGTTTTAGACAGTATTCAGACCCTTTGCTATGAGACTTGAAATTGAGCTCAGGTGCATCCTGTTTCCATTGATCATCCTTAAGATGTTTCTAAAACTTGATTGGAGTCCACCTGTGGTCAATTCAATTGATTGGACATGATTTGGAAAGGCACACACCTGTCTATATAAGGTCCTACAGTTGACAGTGCATGTCAGGGTAAAAACCAAGCCATGAGGTCAAAGGAATTGTCCGGAGAGCTCAGAGACAGGATTGTGTCGAGGCACAGATCTGGGGAAGGGTACCAAAAATGTTATCCAGCATTGAAGGTCCCCAAGAACACAGTGGCCTCCATCATTCTTAAATGGAAGAAGTTTGGAACCACCAAGACTTGTCCTAGAGCTGGCTGCCCAGCCAAACTGAGCAATCAGGGGAGAAGGGTCTTGGTCAGGGAGGTGACCAAGAAACCGATGGTCACTCTGACAGAGCTCCAGAGTTTGTCTGTGGAGATGGGAGAACCTTCCAGAAGGACAACCATATCTTCAGCACTCCACCAATCAGGCCTTTATGGTAGAGTGGCCAGACGGAAGCCACTCCTCAGTAAAAGGCACATGACAGCCCGCTTGGAGTTTACCAAAAGGCACCTAAAGACTCTCAGACCATGAGACACATGATTCTCTGGTCTGATGAAACCAAGATTGAACTCTTTGGCCTGAATGCCAAGCGTCACGTCTGGAGGAAACCTGGCACCATCTCTACGGTGAAGCATGTTGGTGGCAGCATCATGCTGTGGGGATGTTTTTCAGCGGCAGGGTCTGGGAGACTAGTCAGGATCGAGGGAAAGATGAACGGAGCAAAGTACAGAGAGATTCTTGATGAAAATCTGCTCAGGACCTCAGACTAGGGCGAAGGTTCACCTTCCAACAGGACATCGACCTTAAGCACACAGCCAAGACAACGCAGGAGTGGCTTCGAGACAAGTCTCTGAATGTCCTTGAGTGGCCCAGCCAGAGCCCGGACTTGAACCCGATCGAACATCTCTGGAGAGACCTGAAAATATTTGTGCAGCAACGCTCCCCATCCAACCTGACAGAGCTTGAGAGGATCAGCAGAGAAGAATGGGAGAAACTCCCCAAATACAGGTGTGCCAAGCTTGTAGCATCATACCCAAGAAGACTTGAGGCTGTAATCGCTGCCAAAGGTGCTTCAACAAAGTACTGAATAAAGGGTCTGAATACTTAGGTAAATGTGATATTTTGGTCTAAAAATTGTAATACATTTGCTAACTTTTCTAAAAAAAAAAAAAAATATTTTCGCTTTGTTATGTATAGATTGATGAGGGCGAAACAAACAATTTAATCAATTTTAGAATAAGGCTGTAACGTAATAAAATGTGGAAAAAGTCAATGGGTCTGAACACTTTCGGGCTGCACTGTGTATATACACTACCAGTCAAAAGTTTGGACACACCTACTCATTCAACGGTTTTACTTTATTTTTACTATTTTTCATATTGTAGAATAATAGTGAAGACATCAAAACTATGAAATAACACATATGGAATCATGTAGTAACCAAAAAAGTGTTAAACAAATCAAAATATATATTGTATTTGAGATTCTTCAAATAGCCACCCTTTGCCTTGATGACAGCTTTGCACACTCTTGGCATTCTCTCAACCAGCTTCATGAGGATCAAATCAAATGTTATTTGCCACATGCGCCGAATACAACAGGTGTAGTAGACCTTACAGTGAAATGCTTACTTACAAGCCCTTAACCAACAATGCAGTTTTAAGAAAAGAAAAAGAGTGTTAAGTAAAAAATAAAAATGGCAAATAATTAAAGAGCTGCAGTAAAATAAAATAACAGTAGGGAGGCTATATACAGGGGGTACATGTACAGAGTCAATGTGCGGGGGCACCGGTAATTGAGGTGTGCTTTTCCAACTGTCTTAAAGGAGATCCCACATATGCTGAGCACTCGTTGGCTGCTTTTTCTTCACTCTGCGGTCCAACTCATTCCAAACCATTTCAATTGGGTTGAGGTCAGGTGATTGTGGAGGCCATGTCATCTGATGCAGCACTCCATCACTCTCCTTGGTCAAATAGCCCTTAAACAGCCTGGAGGTGTGTTTTGGGTCATTGTGCTGTTGAAAAACAAATTATAGTCCCACTAAGCGGAAACCAGATGGGATGGCGTATCACTGCAGAATGCTGTGGTAGCCATGCCTGTTAAGTGTGCCTTGATTTCTAAATAAATCACAGACAGTGTCACCAGCAATGCACCCCCACACCATTACAGCTCATCCTCCATGCTTCACGGTGGGAACCACACATGCAGAGATCATCCGTTCACCTTCTCTGTGTCTCACAAAGACACGGTGGTTGGAACCAAAAATCTCGTCAGACCAAAGGACAGATTTCCACCGGTCTAATGTCCATTTCCTGTGTTTCTTGGCCCAAGAAAGTCTATTCTTCTTGTTGGTCCTTTAGTAGTGGTTTCTTTGCAGCAATTCGACCATGAAAGCCTGATTCACGCAGTCTCCTCTGAACAGTTGATGTTGAGATGTGTCTGTTACTTGAACTCTGTGAAGCATTTATTTGGGCTGCAATCTGAGGCTGGTAACTCTAATGAACATATCTTCTGCAGCAGAGGTAACTCTGGGTCTTCCTTTCCTGTGGTGGTCCTCATGCGAGCCAGTTTCATCATAGCACTTGATTGTTTTTGCGACTTCACTTGAAGAAACTTTCAAAGTTCTTGGAATTTTACACATTGACTGACCTTCATGTCTTAAAGTAATGATGGACTGTCATTTCTCTGTCCTTATTTGAGCTGTTCTTGCCATAATATGGACTTGGTATTTTACCAAATAGGGCTATCTTCTGTATACCACCCCTACCTTGTCACAACACAACTGATTGGCTCAAACGCATTAATTCCACAAATTAACTTTTAAGAAGGCACACCTGTTAATTGAAATGCATTCCATGTGACTACCTCATGAAGCTGGTTGAGAGAATGCCAAGAGTGTGCAAAGCTGTCATCAAGGCAAAGGGTGGCTATTTGAATAATCTCAAATATAATTTATTTATTTATTTGTTATTCATAGTTTTGATGTCTTCACTATTATTCTACAATATGAAAAATAGTAAGAATAAAGAAAAACCGTTGAATGAGTAGGTGTGTCCAAACTTTTGACTGGTAGTGTGTATATACGCTACCATTCAAAAGTTTGGGGTCACTTAGAAATGTCCTTGTTTCCATTAAAATAACATCAAATTGATCAGAAATACAGTGTAGACATTGTTAGTGTTGTAAATGGCTATTGTAGCTGGAAACGGCTGATTTTTTTATGGAATCTACATAGGCGTACAGAGGCCCATTATCAGCAACCGTCAGTCCTGTGTTCCAATGGCACGTTGTGTTTGCTAATCCAAGTTTATCATTTTAAAAGGCTAATTGATCATTAGAAAACCCTTTTGCAATTATGTTAGCACAGCTGAAAACAGTTGTGCTGATTTAAAGAAGCAATAAAACTGGCCTTCTTGAGACTAGTTGAGAATCTGGAGCATCAGCAATTGTGGGTTTGATTACAGGCTCAAAATGGCCAGAAACAAATGACTTTCTTCTGAAACTCGTCAGTGTATTCTTGTTCGGAGAAATGAAGGCTATTCCATGCGAGAATTTGCCAAGAAACTGAAAATCTCGTACAACGCTGTGTACTACACCCTTCACAGAACAGCGCAAACTGGCTCTAACCAGAATAGAAAGAGGAGTGGGAGGCCCCGGTGCACAACTGAGCAAGAGGACAAATACATTAGAGTGTCTAGTTTAAGAAACAGATGCCTCACGGGTCCTCAACTGGCAGCTTCATTAAATAGTACCCGCAAAACACCAGTCTCAACGTCAACAGTGAAAAGGCAGATTCGGATGCTGACCTTCTAGGCAGAGTTGCAAAGAAAAAGCCATATTTTTATTTATTTATTTATTTCACCATTATTTAACTAGGCAAGTCAGTTAAGAACAAATTCTTATTTACAATGACGGCCTTAGACCGCTGCGCCACTCGGGAGCCCAGACTGCCCATCTTAATCTTTTATTTTTATTGGCAAGTCTGAGATATGGCTTTTTCTTTGCAACTCTGCCTAGAAGGTCAGCATCCGAATCTGCCTTTTCACTGTTGACGTTGAAACTGGCCTCTTCACTGGTGTTCCAATTCATCCCAAAGGTGTTCGATGGGGTTGAGGTCAGGGCTTTATGCAGGCCAGTCAAGTTCTTCCACACCGATCTCAACAAACCATTTCTGTTTGGACCTCGCTTTGTGCACAGGGGCATTGTCATGCTGAAACAGGAAACGGCCTTCCCCAAACTGTTGCCACAAAGTTGGAAGCACAGAATCGTCTAGAATGTCATTGTATGCTGTAGCGTTAAGATGTCCCTTCACTGGAACTAAGGGGCCTAGCATCTTCCACCAAACTTTACAGTTGGCACTATGCATTGGGGCAGGTGGCGTTCTCCTGGCATCCGCCAAACCCAGATTCGTCCCGTCGGATTGCCAGATTCCAGAAAACGTGTTTCCACTGCTCCAGAGTCCAATGGCGGCGAGCTTTACACCACTCCAGCCAACGCTTGGCATTGCGCATGGTGATATTAGGTTTGTGTGCAGCTGCTCGGCCATGGAAACCCATTTCATGAAGCTCCCGGCGAACAGTTCTTCTGCTGACGTTGCTTCCAGAAGCAGTTTGGAACTCGGTTGTGAGTGTTGCAACAGAGGATAAGCAAATTTTAAGCGCTACGTGTTTCAGCACTCGGCGGTCCCGTTCTGTGAGCTTGTGTGGCCTACCACTCCTAGACGTTTCCACTTCACAATAACAGCACTTACAGTTGACCCGGGGCAGCTCTAGCATGGCAGAAATTGGATGAACTGACTTGTTGGAAAGGTGGCATCCTATGATGGTGCCACGTTGAAAGTCACTGAGCTCTTCAGTAAGGCCATTTTGCTGCCAATGTTTGTTTATGGAGATTGCATGGCTGTGTGCTCTATTTTATACACGTGACAGCAACGGGTGTGGCTGAAATGGCCAAATCCACTAATTTGAAGCGTTGTCCACATACTTTTGTATATATAGTGTACTTTGACTAAAACTATGACTTATTTACTTAAATCATTTTGCAACATCATGGGTAAGCTCTGGGAATCTTTCAGCTGAAAAATGTTTATCTTCGCTGTTGTTTACGTTCCCATGTACCGAATAAAGAAAATATAAGTTAAATGGGTTTCCATCGCATTTTCAACTCTACCGATGGTTTTGCCATCAAATCTGTTGCGATAAATAGCAAACTTGCCCAATCTGGTTTTGGCACATGCTCTATAGACAAGAGTTCGCTGATAAAGTGGACAGGGGGTTTTGAGATCTGGATAAGAGCAAGATAATTGTATTTGATAATTGACAGCCAAGCACCGATCATCATGACACCAGCTTTCAAATAATAGCCTACCCTCGATATTTAGCCTTTTGGCTAAACACCCTAAACACTCTTCATGTTGACTGCTAGGTTGGAGATGATGAGGGAGCTTTGGTTGCTTTTAAGGACACAGATGTATTATATGTTATATTTTGAATTGCAAATGCATAGAATTCATCGATGTTGTTCAAGCATCTCTCATAAAGGCATGTTGATTTTCTTCAAAGGAAGTCAAGGCAAGCTCACAGCAGAGGGCCCTTAAGTAATTGGTTCAGAGGGATCTTATTTAGAAAATTATCACTCCCTGCAGCTACTGCACCACTGTATGATTTAGTGTAACCTCATTCTACATTTAATTTCATTGGGCTCTCTGTCTGGCAGTTGTAAGGTTCTTATTGGGCTCTTTTCGAGGAAAGGCAACAAAAAAATAGTTTATTTATTTTAAATTCAATAAATGAAAATAATAAAACCATATGCTTTCTTTGCTATGTTTCAACCACTCAGGTCTTTTTCAGTTCAGGAAAGACAACATCCCATTTCCAAGCCAGTTGAGACACGTGGCATTAATGGACTAGCTTTACTGTCTCTCTCTCCAGCTACGTCTTCTAGTCATGCACTCTCGTGTACGGTCGTTGAGAGGGGTTGTCATGGTTACCTTTTACATGCGGCGTGAAAGAGAAGACCACCCCACATTAAAATGAGAGCTCCTGATTTGGCTGATTCTACAGTGTTACTAGAGAGAGGGCAGTCCTGCGTTATAATTGGCCTTACCAGCTGTCACTCAAATACAGATGCCTATCACGTACAAAGCAAATTTTGTGCTCTTAGGCAAGGTTTTATTGCCTTGACTCTCACTGTGTGTACTCTCTGTGTGTGGTTTGCCTGTGGTGGGTTTCTCTGACTGTTATCAAGACAGATGTCACAGAGAAATGGAAGGTGAGTTACAGCCTATATTGTAGCCTACATAATGTGCATCAGCTTCTCTTTATACAGCTTGAGTAGGGTGACATGGTGAGTTCTGTTTTCTTTTGGGCTAGGCTGCTAGGTAAATGGCCTTTTGATAGTGTACTGTACAGTTGGTACATACACCAAGAGGTACTGTTAGTTTTTTATTCATGAGCTCAATAGTTTGCTCAGTATGTGGGCGAGCTGAGGTGCCTGTTCATATGAACTTGTACTGTGAGTGTGTTTGTACTTGTGTGATTGTTTGCTCTTGTGTGTGTGTATGTGCATGCGAGGGTGTTTGTTTTGTCTATGTGTCCGTCTTCATACATTGGGAGTGAACCGATAGCTGTGTATACATAAGGGACATAGAGCTAGATGAGGATATCAGTGTCCATGACAGACAGACATGTTCTGTTTCCCAAGTGGCACCCTATTCCCCATATAGTGCACTGTTTTGAACCAAGGCCCATAGGGTCCTGTAGTGAATAGGGTGACATTTGGGACACAGACCTGATTCTGTTCTTGGTCATTTTTGCTGGGAAGCACCAGGCTACTCCATTCTGCACATGTGTATATTCTCCACGCGTAGAGAACAGGCTACTCAGGTGAATGGTGCTCGTTTAATAAAGTTATCTCAAAGCTGAATCAGTGTCTGCAAGATCACATAATGATAATATTCTACATACAGAACTGAATATAATAGCATAGTATAACGTTACTGTAAGACAAAAACACCAGCGCCACCGCATTTTTCTCTCATGTGGCCAAAACTTAACAGTGTGCGCCACTAGGCACAATACAGATGTAGGCTAAGCTACAGTTTGTTAAAGCTCAGACACACTGGTAGGATTGTCAAACGTTTGCCTGCCGACAGTACTTTAGCACGTCTGAACAGTGTCGGCAGTCAATCTCTTTTGTGTTAACACAGCAAAGATCTTAGAAGTCGTCAGCCTTGTTAAAATACTCCAAACCAGAAGGTGGCAGTAGCATTGTTTGGCAATACATATCCATGCATATTGCTTATGGTCTAGATTCCAATCTATCTGCGCTAGTGTTGCTATTGTGTAGAAAGCCCTTGTTGAGACTAGCCAGATAGCCACAGCTAGATAACTGCCTAGCAAGATGACGAAGAAACAATTTAATTCACTCTCCAATCCCATACTGCCAGCCCATAGCCACATGTTTAGCTAGCTAACTAAAGTTAGCATATTCGCTAGCTAGCACAACATAGCTAGCTAGCTAAGGACACTGCACTAACTCGGCAGCTAACACAAGCAGCTGTTTCATGGAAACTAGCTAATCCATTGTGATTTAATTATACTGAACAAAAATATAAAGGCAAAATGCAACTATTTCAACGACTTTATTAAGTTACAGTTCATATAAGGAAATCAGTCAATTGAAATAAATAAATTAGGCCCTAATCTATGGATTTCACATGACTAGGCAGGGGCGCAGCCACCCACTTGGGAGCCAGGCCCAGCCAATCAGAATGAGTTTTTCCCCACAAAAGGGCTTTATTACAGACCGAAATACTCCTCAGTTTCATCAGCTGTCTGTGTGGCTGGTCAGACGATCCCGTAGGTGAAGAAGCCGGATGTGGAGGTCCTGGCTGGCATGGTTACACGTGGTCTGCAATTGTGAGGCAGGTTGGACGTACTGCCAAATTCTCTAAAACAATGTTGGAGGCAGTGTATGGTAGAGAAATTATAATTTAATTATCTTTCAACAGCTCTGGTGGACATTTCTGCAGTCAGCATGCCAATTGCACACTCCCTCAAAACTTGAGACATCTGTGGCATTGTGTTATGGGACAAAACTGCACATTTTAGAGTGGCCTTTTATTGTCCCCAGCACAAGGTGCACCTGTGTAATGATCATGCTGTTTATTCAGCTTCTTGATATGCTGCAGCTGTCAGATGGATGGAAATAAGCTTCTTGTGCGTATGGAACATTTCTGGGATCTTTTATTTCAGCTCATGAAACATGCAACCAGCACTTTACATGTTGCGTTTATATTTTTGTTCAGTATATAATGTCAATAATAGCTACAGTGGTTAGCTAGCTTGGATGAAGTATTTAGTGTTGTGTCTGTGCACTTCACTAGCTACCATCCCATAGCCTACATTGCATATGAAGTGTGACTGGCTCATCCGTGGATATACAGAGAAAATTGCCCCTAATTTTGGTTGGCTCCGACACGTGGGGGCAGGGGCGGACTTAGTGATTCGGAGGCCCTAAGTCGAGACCAGTATGAGCCCGAGCCTCCTATGTGTGCACGCGCTTGCACACAGTTTTTTTATGGGTTTTATAGTAAAGACGTAATTTAACTGTAAAAATGTATTACCTTTTAAGCTCCAATAGTGCTCACTAGATTAGTGTCGTAGGTGCAACAGTGCGTGACTATTCTTTTTACAGTTTATGGTGAGGATGGCCGGGAAATCGCAGATTTTTTAAATATGTTGATATATGTTGATTTTGTGTATAGCGCACACTTCTGACAAAACAGAATCACATTTTTCCTCCAGGTTTTCTTTCATTTTCTGCAATGTTGTAAATTAGCATACGGAACAACTCTCTGCAAAATGTGTCCTTCACGTTCTGAAAACAGTGACAAACATAACACATAGCATCAACGGGCATGTGGGGTGAGGGTTCCCAGCGGACCACTCAAACCGTTTTTGCAATACAAAATTCTCCAGACCTCCAAGGGAGGTGTGACAGTGATGTGATTTTGGAGGTATGGCAACACGAGACTACTATTAAGCTAAAATATGGAATTGTTTTAAAGTGGTAATACCAAGGATAATTTAGCTATTTGATTTAGAATTTTAGGACCCCTGTAGGTATCAACATTTTTGTAAACATTTTCTGGGATGAAATATTTAATTTGGCCCATATAAATGCATTGAATGACAGATTCATACATGGAAAAACAGATTGTCAAACATTTTATCAAAAGGAAGTATATTTTTAAATGACTGTCCTATATCTGAGAGATATAAGAAAGCTAATAATTTTTACAGTGGAATTACCTGTATACATTTGACGAGGAAATGCCCTATTCACTTCCATTCATTTTTCAGCCAGGAAGCGTGTTACCTTGAGTCCTGTGACACTTGTGGGGGTCGTAGAGCAAAACGAAGAACACCAGTTCATCAGTGTGTTTGTGAGAGTCTCATCTTTCCATAGAGGGGTCATGTTAATTTGTAGGCCAAACCATTCGTACGCTACATACGTTTTCGTGAGAAGACTGATTTTCGAGATGTGTCCTGGTCTGACAAACACTGCTGTAGCTCTGCTACCTTCCACCGCAAATGCGGAAGGCCGACATCGGCAGATGCGGTGGATTAAGACGGAACCCATGCCAAAAAACATATCTCTAGCTTAGACAGATTTTGATGAGGATTTTTTAATACTTTTTTTATTATGCCTCGAGCTGAGAAATTATTTGTGTGTATATATAATTGTATTTATTTAATAAAATATGAACGCCCAGCTCATGAGGCACCTTGGTGATGTGAGGCCTGAGGCAAATGCCTCTTCTGCCTAATGGTAAGTCCACCAGTAAGTGGGAGTTTGTGCTCTCTAATTGGCTCAATGTCAAGTTGTTGGCCACTGACGAGCATTACGATTCTACAAGTAGAATTGGTAAGTTCGTCGCTACCAGGTCGGCATGCAGCAGGTACCGCTTTTTTTTTCTAGCAAGAGAGGGAATGGCCTCCCACTGTGAGTACCTCTGTCTATCAGCAGTGAGATTCTCGGTGTGTTTCATGCTTTAACACCATCTGCTCTAAGATTTGCTCACTGTACATCATTCAAAACAACACACTGTAGGCTACTTCGAAACAAAAATGTATAACTCAAGATCTAAATGCATATACCCATGAAACTGATTGCGATCAAGTGGTTGGTATGCAGATGCTGCATGGACGTTTCACTGGTAAAACTTCAAAGAATTATCATTCACGATTGAAAGCAGTGATGTTTTTGTCTTACAGTAACTTTATGCTATTATTTATTATTTTACCTTTATTTAACTAGGCAAGACAGTTAAGAACAAATTCTTATTTACAATGATGGCCTACACCGGCCAAACCCGGACGACGCTGGGCCAATTTGTGCGCCGCCTTATGGGACTCCCAATCACGGCCGGTTGTGATACAGCCTGGAATTGAACCAGGGGGTCTGTAGTGACACCTCAAGCGCTGAGATGCAGTGCCTTAGACCGCTGCGCCACTCGGCCTATTCAGTTCTGTTATGTAGAATACTATCATTATGTGATCTTGCAGACATTGATTCAGCTTTGATCTAACTTCATTCCTTCCAGTTCTCTGCTGCCAATGACTGGAACGAATTGCAAAAATCTCTGAAGCTGGAGACTCTTATCTCCCTCAATAACTTTAAGCATCAGTTGTCAGAGCACCTTACCGATCACTGCACCTGTACACAGCCCATCCGAAATTAGCCCACCCAACTACCTCATCCCTATATTGTTATTTATTTTGCTCTTTTGCACCCCAGTATCTCTATTTGCACATAATCTCTTGCACATCTAGCATTCCAGTGTTAATACTATTGTAATTATTCTGCACTATAGCCTATTTATTGCCTTACCTCCATAACTTGCTACATTTGCACACACTGTATATATATTTTCTGTTGTATTTCTGACTTTGTTTTTTTTTACCCCATATGTAACTCTGTTGTTTTTATTGCACTACTTTGCTTTATCTTGGCCAGGTCGCAGTTGTAAATGAGAACCTGTTCTCAACTGGCTTACCTGGTTAAATAAAGGTGAAATAAAAAAAATAAAAAATTAAGCGAGCACCATTCGCTTGAGTAACCTGTTCTCTACGTGTAAGGAAGAGAATATGAACCTGCGCAGAACGTCATCCGCAGATACGCTTCGGGATCAGGTGGACTAAAGATTCAGAAAAAGTTGGATCTGTAGCCACAGCCTTTTTATAAATGCCAACAGTTGCGTGAAAACTGGTGCATGCATGTTTTGTGGTATATTTTGTATGTACGTAACATTTGTGCATGCGTGGACTGATTCCATTATCATTCTGATCAGAACAGCGGTCACCCAGGTGTCCCATCCCTACTAAAGGTCACATCTATTGGTCTGCAATGACATTTTGATGTCTTGATTATTAAGCCAGTTGACATTTTCTGTAGACATGGTGCAACCGATGGTGGGCCAGCTAGATCTTAATTGCCAATTTACTGAGGTTACCATCATGGATTAAATCTCCAATAACAGTAAAATAATGAAACTTTGTAAGTGAATAGTTCATAATATGTTGCAGTGTCCATTATGATGCAACTCAACTGAGCCAAGACCCAAAGCGATTCATTGCATCTAGTCCTGTTTATCACACATGGACGTTTCATTTCCTCTGTGTTGTTATGAGGCCAGACAGACTGGCGGTACACACTGGCGGTCAGCGGTTTCTTCACCGGTACACAAGGTGCAAGGCAACCCCCCCACATTTACTTGTACATAGGCCTACTGTTCGCCACTCTCTATCATGTATCTTCCTCTCCCATAGAGTGGAGCCTGTTTCAGGTCTGTGAGGCTGTGGCTCCTCCATAATGCTCCCCTCAGGAGGAGAAGGAAGCCACTCCAGAAGGATGAATAGCTACAGCTGGTGCTGCAGTAGTAGTAGGATGGACTGGCCGTGTGTGTAGTTAATAGAAGGGCGGGAGGCCTGTCTGAGTGGTGTCTTTGTCCCAGTCTCCCAGCCTCTCTCTCTACAACTGGCTCCTTGAGAAGGGACACCCAGCTACCCTCTAGTCTAGAGTGGCATCCACCCACCCTGTTATCTACTGCCACTGACAACTACACCAGTGTTTCCCCTACCATCAATAACGCAGAAAAAGCCACCTGGCCTAGTTCTGTTGCCCATCTGCTTAAAACCAATTTGAAACCAGTGTTTACATTATTCACTGTCCATCATTCTTACCTGCATCCAGTGTTTACACAGCTTTTTCTTGCCAGTACATGATGTACTGTACATCCCGGCGTACTACTACAGTATCCACATTCCCCCATCCAGGCCAAAAGCTCCCACAGATCGCACCATCACTGGCCACCTCGTTATGGGATGATCTGGTTGTAAGGATTTGCCTCTTCAATCTGCACCGCAGGGCTTTAGTCTAGGCTGATCCCATGTGTAGTGTATCCCATGTTAATCATGTGTATGATGGCTAGCACACCTAGCAGTGAACATTGTGATGTTGCCGTAACACTGACACCACTATGCTGATCTCCCCTGTCGTGTTGCATGAAAGGGTATGTGTAAAAACCCTTTTATCATGAGATCTTTAATACTGGGTCGTTCTGTATGATTTCAATCACTTTCTGACTGCACCCCTATTGATTTGAACGAAACCTTCCATACATGTTTGCCCATGGTAGAAGCAATGCTCCCTCTAAGCTGCGCGCAGCTCCCCAGGGACTGCCGGCAGAAGAAAAATCAGCCCGCGCAGAGAAGCACGAGATTGAACAATAATAGCCACTTTCAATGCAACATTACGAAACAAAATAAACTATGCAAGACTTAGTATGCAAAACTAACTGAGCAATAGATTTTCTTGTAGGCAGAGTGCATTGGAGTAGGTTATATTGCATTGACAGGCACGACTCAGCCCGTACTCTACACAGACCGGTGCACCATAACCAATCAGAGCTGCAGTAGGCTTACAGTGCCTTGCAAAAGTATTCATCCCCCTTGGCATTTTTCCTATTTTGTTGCATTACAACCTGTAATTTAAATGGAGTTTTATTTGGATTTCATGTAATGGACATACACAAAATAGTCCAAATTGTTGAAGTGAAATGAAAAAAATAACTTGTTTCAAAAAGTTCTAAAACATAAATAACGGAAAAGTGGTGCATGCATATGTATTCACCCCCTTTGCTATGAAGCCCCTAAATAAGATTTGGTGCAACCAATTACCTTCAGAAGTCACATAATTAGTGAAATAAAGTCCACCTGTGTCCAATCTAAGTGTCACATGGTCTGTCACATGATCTCATTATATATAAACCTGTTCTGAAAGGCCCCAGAGTCTGCAACACCACTAAGCAACTTTGAACATCCCACGGAGCACCATTTAAATCCATTATTAAAAAATGGAAAGAATATGGCACCACAACAAACCTGCCAAGAGAGGGCCGCCCACCAAAACTCACGGACCTGGCAAGGAGGGCATTAATCAGAGAGGCAACAAAGAGACCAAAGATAACCCTGAAGGAGCTGCAAACCTCCACAGCAAATATTGGAGTATCTGTCCATAGGACCACTTTAAGCCGTACAATCCACAGAGCTGGGCTTTATGGAAGAGTGGCCAGAAAAAAGCCATTGCTTAAAGAAGAAAATGAGCAAACACGTTTGGTGTTCACCAAAAGGTATGTGGAAGAAGGTACTCTGGTCAGATGAGGATAAAATTGAGCTTTTTGGCCATCAAGGAAAACGCTATGTCTGGCACAAACCCAACACCTCTCATCACCCCGAGAACACCATCCCCACAGTGAAGCATGGTGGTGGCAGCATCATGCTGTGGGGAAACCTGTTTGTCTTCCAGAGATTTGAGACTGGGATAGGTTCACCTTCCAGCAGGACAATGACCCTAAGCATACTGCTAAAGCAACACTTGAGTGGTTTAAGGGGAAACATTTAAATGTCTTGGAATGGCCTAGTCAAAGCCCAGACCTCAATCCAATTGAGAATCTGTGGTATGACTTAAAGATTGCTGTACACCAGCGGAACCCATCCAACTTGAAGGAGCTGGAGCAGTTTTGCCTTGAAGAATGGGCAAAAATCCCAGTGGCTAGATGTGCCAAGCTTATAGAGACATACCCCAAGATACTTCCAGCTGTAATTGTTGCAAAAGGTGGCTCTACAAAGTATTGACTTTGGGGGGTGAATAGTTATGCACACTCAAGTTGTCTGTTTTTCTTGTCTTATTTCTTGTTTGTTTCACAAGAAAAAAATATTTTGCATCTTCAAAGTGATAGGCATGTTGTGTAAATCAAATGATACAAACCCCCAAAAAATCTATTTTATTTCCAGGTTGTAAGGCAACAAAATAGAAAAATGCCAAGGGGGGTGAATACTTTCGCAAGCCACTGTATATGCAAATAGACCATTGCCATATATGGATTTGTACCATTCACTTTGAACTGGACTGTTTTACAGCAGGAGTGGTCACGATTATTATGCTCTTGTTTTGAGATCAAAGTGAGAGCTGCATGTAGCCACGTGTGCAGGTTTGTTCATATTCTTTGCTAGTTAGTTAGTTAGTTATTAGCCCAGTTATAGCTAATTTGTAGTCAGCGATGAGGGAGAGATTGCTTCCTACAAGAGCACAAAACGTGTAAATTTCTAGCCATCTTTGAAAAGCGAGTCAGGTGAAGAGGTTTTTTTTATGTCTTAAAGGGGCAGTGTTGTATTTTGAGACCGGCTTGAATAAGCTAAGTAGCCAATAGGCAGAGAGTAGCATAACTTGTCTGATTCTCTGTAATGATAGTATGGGAATAATAATAAATGTTATTTTGTAAAGTGGTTTCTTGCATCAAACAACACAACAAAATGTTCAGTGGATAAACAGGTTAATATCAAGCCCTGCATGTTTTTTTTTTGTTTTGTTTTGTTTTTTAAGTCTCATGGAATGTAGGCCTACATTGGCTGCTACTTTAAGCTGAATGATAGAACATCTATTTCTATGTTATAATGTTATGTGATGCATTTTCTCCATTGGTTTTGATGGTAGGCCACTCTGGTAGGCCTACGTTATGATCAAATAGCCACAGTAGCCTACTTGGCCACTGTTAAAACAGTAAATTAAAGCGTGTACAGCCTCAGTGTTCACAGTAAACGCACGCCGGAAGTTGCACAGAAATTTCACAAGGTTCAAGTTTGCGCTCAGCAGACCTGAAATTTGCTCAGTGATGAAAAATATTAGAGGAAACATTGGGTAGAAGTGGTCAGAAAGTTACTTTTTAGACCGGAATGCCAAATGCCAAAACGTGGTCCTCTGTAGCTCAGCTGGTAGAGCACGGCGCTTGTAACGCCAAGGTAGTGGGTTCGATCCCCGGGACCACCCATACACAAAAATGTATGCACGCATGACTGTAAGTCGCTTTGGATAAAAGCGTCTGCTAAATGGCATATTATTATTATTATTATTATTAAAACATTCAGGAGAGAGTGCTCAAAGTTTTTACCCATTTTGAATACCCCACCCTACCATGAGACTTCCATGTCTTCGTCACTGAAAAAGATAAATGGTTGCGTTTGATATCATTTGAACGCTTACAAACAAGGTTGTCAAACTGTTTTATTTTGAAAAACGCATAAACTCCGATTTGTAAATTTATTTTCATGAACTCAGCAAATAAAGAAACGTCCTCTCACTGTCAACTGCGTTTATTTTCAGCAAACTTAACATGTGTAAATATGTGTATGAACATAACAAGATTCAACAACTGAGACATAAACTGAACAAGTTCCACAGACATGTGATTGACAGAAATGGAATAATGTGTCCCTGAACAAAGGGGGGGTCAAAATCAAAAGTAACCAGCTGCATGAAGTACTGCAGTGCATCTCCTCCTCATGGACTGCACCAGATTTGCCAGTTCTTGCTGTGAGATGTTACCCCACTCTTCCACCAAGGCACCTGCAAGTTCCCAGACATTTCTGGGGGGAATGGCCCAAGCCCTCACCCTCCGATCCAACAGGTCCCAGACGTGCTCAATGGGATTGAGATCCGGGCTCTTCGCTGGCCATGGCAGAACACTGACATTCCTGTCTTGCAGGAAATCACGCACAGAACGAGCAGTATGGCTGGTGGCATTGTTATGCTGGAGGATCATGTCAGGATGAGCCTGCAGGAAGGGTACCACATGAGGGAGGAGGATGTCTTCCCTGTAACGCACAGCGTTGAGATTGCCAGCAATGATAACAAGCTCAGTCTGATGATGCTGTGACACACTGCCCCAGACCATGACAGACCCTCCACCTACAAGCCCTCAGTCCAGCCTCTCTCAGCCTATTGCGGACAGTCTGAGCACTGATGGAGGGATTGTGCGTTCTTGGTGTATCTTGGGCAGTTGTTGTTGCCATCCTGTACTTGTCCCGCAGGTGTGATGTTCAGATGTATTGATTCTGTGCAGGTGTTGTTACACGTGGTCTGCCACTGCGAGGACGATCAGCTGGCCGTCCTGTCTCCCTGTAGCGCTGTCTTAGGTGTCTCACAGTACGGACATTGCAATTTATTGCCCTGGCCACATCTGCAGTCATGCCTCCTTGCAGCATGCCTAAGGCACGTTCACGCAGATAAGCAGGGACCCTGGGCATCTTTCTTTTGGTGTTTTTTCAGAGTCAGTAGAAAGGCCTCTTTAGTGTCCTAAGTTTTCATAACTGTGACCTTAATTGCCTACCGTCTGTAAGCTGTTAGTGTCCTAACGACCGATCCACAGGTGCATGTTCATTAATTGTTTATGGTTCATTGAACAAACCTGGGAAACAGTGTTTAAATCCTTTACAATGAAGATCTGTGAAGTTATTTGGATTTTTACGAATTATCTTTGAAAGACAGGGTCCTGAAAAAGGGACGTTTCTTTTTTTGCTGAGTTTATATGTTGGAGCTTACACCCTATTTTACATCCTCTGAGGTGTTTGTTGTACCCATCATCGGTTGAGACACAGCATACTCTTGAATACAGGGTGGGTGTCACGTTTTGGCTGATAAATGTACTAACATGCAAAGCTGTCATCAAGGCAAATGGTGGCTATTTGAAGAATCTCAAATATAAAATATATTTACACTTTTTTGTTTTCTACATCATTCCATATGTGTTATTTCATAGCTTTGATGTCTTCACTATTATTCTACAATGTAAAAAATAGTAAAAAAATATAGAAGAACCCTTGAATTAATAGATTTTGCAGGTTTTCCTACTTACAAAGCATGTAGAGGTTTGTAATTTTATCATAGGTACACTTCAACTGTGAGAGACGGAATCCAGAAAATCACATTGTATGATTTTTAAGTAATTAATTTGCATTTTATTGCATGACATAAGTATTTGATACATCAGAAAAGCAGAACTTAATATTTGGTACAGAAACCTTTGTTTGCAATTACAGAGATCATACGTTTCCTGTAGGTCTTGACCAGGTTTGCACACACTGCAGCAGGGATTTTGGCCCACTCCTCCATACAGACCTTCTCCAGATCCTTCAGGTTTCGAGGCTGTCGCTGGGCAATACGGACTTTCAGCTCCCTCCAAAGATTTTCTATTGGGTTCAGGTCTGGAGACTGGCTAGGCCACTCCAGGACCTTGAGATGCTTCTTACGGAGCCACTCCTTAGTTGCCCTGGCTGTGTGTTTCGGGTCGTCATGGTGGAAGACCCAGCCACGACCCATCTTCAATGCTCTTACTGAGTGAAGGAGGTTGTTGGCCAAGATCTCGCAATACATGGCCCTATCCATCCTCCCCTCAATACGGCGCAGTCGTCCTGTCCCCTTTGCAGAAAAGCATCCCCAAAGAATGATGTTTCCACATCCATGCTTCACGGTTGGGATGGTGTTCTTGGAGTTGTACTCTTCTTCCTCCAAGCACGGCGAGTGGAGTTTAGACCAAAAAGCTCAATTGTTGTCTCATCAGACCACATGACCTTCTCCCATTCCTCCTCTGGATCATCCAGATGGTCATTGGCAAACTTCAGACGGGCCTGGACATGCGCTGGCTTGAGCAGGGGGACCTTGCGTGCGCTGCAGGATTTTAATCCATGACGATTGACCGTCATCTTGAACTTCTTCCATTTTCTAATAATTGCGCCAACAGTTGTTTCCTTCTCACCAAACTGCTTGTCTATTGTCCTGTAGCCCATCCCAGCCTTGTGCAGGTCTACAATTTTATCCCTGATGTCCTTACACAGCTCTCTGGTCTTGGCCATTGTGGAGAGGTTGGAGTCTGTTTGAGTGTGTGGACAGGTGTCTTTTATACAGGTAACGAGTTCAAACAGGTGCAGTTAATCCAGGTCATGAGTGGAGAACAGGAGGGCTTCTTAACGAAAAACGAACAGGTCTGTGAGAGCCGGAATTCTTACTTGTTGGTAGGTGATCAAATACTTATGTCATGCAATAAAATGCAAATTAATTACTTAAAAATCATACAATGTGATTTTCTGGATTTTTGTTTTAGATTCCGTCTCTCACTTTTGAAGTGTACATATGATAAAAATTACAGACCTCTACATGCTTTGTAAGTAGGAAATCGGCAGTGTATCAAATACTTGTTCTCCCCACTGTATTTACCTTTTTTCAAGAAATCATAGAATAGTTTGACAACTCTGTTTGTAAGGTTTCAAATTAAATCAAACTCAACTATTTATCTTTTTCAGTGATGAAGACATGGACGTTTCATGGTAGGGTGGGGTATGCAAAATGGTTCAACTTTGAACACCAATATCTCCTGAATGTTTTGGCATTCAGGTCCGAGAAGTCACTTTCCGACCACTTCCACCATGGGCAAACGTATGAAAGGTTTCGTTCAAATCAAAAGGGGTGCAGTCCGAATGTGATTGAACTCATATGGAACGACCCTACTGTATCATAGCTAGCTAGAATGTAGCCTAATATAATGGTAATATAAATGATTTATGCTACAATACAGCATTGTTCAATTCGTATCAGAAATGTGTTTTATTCTTTTTTGTAACACCAATGCTAACGGTGTTGTGTTTTTCTGTGTCTCCTCTATAGTAAGCATGTTTCTGAACACCCTAACCCCCAAGTTCTACGTGGCTCTGACGGGGACCTCCTCCTTGATATCCGGACTCATACTGGTAAGTTGATCATATTATGCCATTTAGCACGTTTATCCAAAGCGACTTACAGTACAGTGAGTGCATACATTTTAGTATATGATAATATATGCCATTTAGCAGACAATGTTATCCAAAGCAACTGACTTACAGTACAGGGAGTGCATAGCCTACACTACACTTAATTATTATGTGATGCCAGTGGGAATTGATCCCACAACACTGGTGTTACGATCGCTATGCTCTTACCAACTGAGCTACATAGGATCACCAAGTTGAGCCCTCATTCGTCTATAGTACAGTGAATGAACAGTGCTACAATGGTCTTTCTTACAAAGAGAAGAGAAGAGAAAGAGAAGAGCTACAAGCTAGCGAACCCCATTCCTCTCCGTAGATTGGCCAGTTAGTTTATTTAGTTGCCTGGAAACGACGATGAGTCTCACAGGCCTCTTAAGCCTACATTGGTTCCTATGAATAATTACAGTGGAGAATACATTTTGTGTACTGGGCTCGGCTGTGATGTATTGCAATACAGATGTATATCTGTTATATTAATTACTGTCAGTGGAGACTGGAGAGGTTTAGTTAATTGAATGGTCATTTTAGGACAGTACATTACTGTATCACCAGCTTTAGAAGTAGCCTAGATAAGAAAGCGATACCATAGTTGTGTATGGATTAAGACATAGAAAGTCAAGGAGTGCGTGTGTGTGTGTGCGGAAACAGAGTCTGAGTTGCATGTCGGACCCTGTCTTGATTAGGCAATGCTAAAATAGAAGTATATAATGTGTGTGGTTGCCTGTGTGCAACCTGTGTATGAATTTGTATCTGACGTGCAATGTGGCTTTTCATAAATACAATATTTAGACCTCTAACTTACAAACATTGTCCTATGCTCCTGCCTATGCTAGTTGGGGTTATGTTGTACTTAAAGCGGCATACCAAAATAAAATAACCTCTTATTACAAAATCTCAGTAGTATGAAGTAGCTCAAATGGCATTCAACTGAAACGACACAGCCCTAAAGATAGATTGAAATATTTGTATTTATTTTATTTAACCTTTATTTAACTAGGCAAGTCAATTAAGAACAAATTATTATTTCCAATGGCATACCAAGAGTCAAAAGGCCTCCTGTGGGGACAGGGGCTGGAATGAAAAATATAAATGTAGGACAAAACACGTATCACGACAAGAGACACCACAACACTACCTCAAGAGAGACCTAAGACAACAACACAACATGGCAGCAACACAACAAAACATCACAACATGGTAGCAACACAACATGATAACAACACAACATTGTAGCAGCACAACATGGTAGCAGCACAGACATGGTACAACAATGTTAGGCACAGACAACAGCACGAAGGGCAAAAAGGAATAGACAACACTAGATCACGCGAAGCAGCCATAAGTGTCAGTAAGAGTGTCCATAATTGAGCCTTTGACTGAAGAGATGGCGATACAACTGAATAGAACACATACAAATAATATAGTATCATATTGTTTCTCTATGGCCCTAACCCTACTGAATCATCCCTGAATGAACTGCCTCCTGTCTGTCCCATCAGATATTTGAGTGGTGGTACTTCAGGAAGTACGGTACTTCCTTCATCGAGCAGGTGTCAGTGAGCCACCTGCGCCCTCTGCTGGGCGGCGTGGACAACAGCTCCCCAACCAACTCCAACACCAGTAACGGAGATGCAGACTCCAACCGACAGAGTGTGTCCGGTAAGACTCAGAGATTTACTAGATTGGTAAAGCATTCGCTAGATAAAGCAATTACTGGATTTATATAGAGCGTTCGCTAGATGGAACATTTACAACCTAGATAAAGCATTCATTACGCGTTCACCGCTCCACATTGAAATGGCCTTATTGTTTGCCCTTATGCTAGAGCAGTGGTTCCCAGCCCGGAGTACCAAGCCCCCTGGGGGTAGTTGGCCTATCCACAGGGGGTACTTGAGAAGACTCATGAGACCATAAGCCTACTGTTAAAATGCACATGAGGGGGTACTTCAGGGGTACTCCGGTCAGAGCAAAATTCAGTTGGTGGTACAGTAACTGAAAAAGGTTGGGAACCGCTGTGCTAGAGCATTTACTAAAGCTGAATAGAGCATATTGTTTGTAGAAGTATAGAGACACAACACAACCAATTTAATAGAGATACCAGATAGAGCATTTGCCATAGAAGTCTTCTTTATTTTGCCTACACACTTGATTAGAGCATTTAGGCCTACTACAGCCAAATATAGCATTTAATACCATAGAGAGCCTTATTGTTCGCTCCCACACCAGTGAGAAATCCAATGCGTGTGTGTTTTTGTTTTTGTTGGATTAAATGGATTATCTCAGCTGTGTTGAATCAACACGGCATGATTGGAGAAATGGCTTTATAATTATTTGCTGTTGTAATCCCTCTGTCTGGTAAAGGAGAGTGATTTTAAGATGGAGACTGGCTAGTGATGTTGATTTGTGGATTTAGGATGCAGTCTGGTAGTACAGACCTGAAGCTTACAGAAGCTATGAGATTGCCTTACTGTAGGGCACTTTAGTGTAGGAATATCATGATGTACACTTGATCCCTAGCTTGCTCAGAGGTACACTTAGGACTCTATTTTGTGTCTGATACACACAAACAATGTCTTCCTCCTCTTGTTCCCCCAGAATGTAAAGTATGGCGAAATCCACTGAATTTATTTCGAGGGGCGGAGTATAACCGGTGAGTCACATGATCCCTCACCCTTTCTATCCTCTCCTCCCTTACTCTCCTATTATTCTTCTCATCCCCCTCACTCCCTCAAGAACTCCTGATTCTCTCTCCAGCTCTCAACCTCTGCTCTGTCGTTTTCTTCACTCTTTTCCAACCTCTGTTTTCTGTTCTTCCCTCATTCCCTCTCTCTGTTTCTCTGCCCTGCTATGTGTTCCCTCTCTCTCCGTGGAGAGTTGGTAGTAATGGCTGGGGCTGATATGCTGTCCCATGGTGTCAGCTTTAAATGCCAACAGGCTGAGAGAATCCCTGCCTCACCAGGAGCCCACGCTCATAAATTAGATCAGTGCTGCCTAGTTCCTCCTCAACAGCTTTTTCCACCTCTCTTTTCTCTTTCACTCTTCACATCTGTCTTCTCTTCTACCTTCCCTTCCTCTCTCTCTCTCCCCCTAGACTTTTTTTCTAGAACCATTAAAATGACTTTTAACCATAAGTGTGTGTGTGTGTGTGTGTGTGTGTGTGTGTGTGTGTGTGCCCACCCACCAGGTATACGTGGGTGACGGGCCGAGAGCCACTCACGTACTACGACATGAATCTCTCGGCACAAGACCACCAGACCTTCTTCACATGTGACTCGGACCACCTCCGGCCAGCTGACGCCAGTAAGGAACACACACACACATCAAATCAAATCAAATTGTATTTGTCACATGCGCCGAATACAACAGGTGAAACCTGATACCTTACAGTGAAATGCTTACTTACATATATATTAAAGAGAAGCAGTAAAATAACAGTAGCGAGGCTATATACAGGGGGTACCGTTACAGAGTCAATGTGTGGGTGCACAGGTTAGTCGAGGTAATTGAGTTAATATGTACATGTAGGTAGAGTAAAAGTGACTATGCATAGATAATAAACAGAGAGTAGCAGCAGCATAAAAGAGGAGGGGGGGGACAATGCAAATAGTCCGGGTAGCCATTTGATTAGCTGTTCAGGAGTCTTATGGCTTGGGGGTAGAAGCTGTTAAGAAGCCTTTTGGACCTAGACTTGGCGCTCCGGTACCGCTTGCCGTGTGGTATTAGAGAGAACAGTCTATGACTAGGGTGGCTGGAGTCTTTGATGTAGTACATCACATAGAGACACACGCAGGCACACACACACACACACACACACACACACACACACACACGTACACACACACACACTGTCAATCTCACCCCATCTCCAGGGAGGTTTGATTCATGTTCACAAGTGTTACCGTGACCTCTGACCTCAATAACACAAACTAACGTGTTTGTGTCTTCAGTAATGCAGAAAGCATGGAGAGAGAGGAACCCACAGGCACGCATCTCTGCCGCACACGAAGCCCTCGAACTGGAGGAGTGAGTAGTACTTCTTTCACCTACAGAGCTATCATACTGTGTAACATGGTTGGCCTCAGTTCACTCATGCATTACTTGTAAATAATCCTATTATTTCTCTGAGAACTCTTCATTAATAAATCATTAATAAATAGAATTTCACCTCCTCAATTGACTGAAGTGAAGTGGAATCAACCACATCTCTTCTGTATATAACCTGAATGAAAAGTGTAAGATGCACACGTAAAATACTCTTTATAGCTAATATAGTTATTGACCTACTTCTGACATTGGCAAAAAGCAGATTTGCACATTACTCTCTTCTATTCACATTACTCTCTTCTATTCACATTACTCTCTTCTATTCACATTACTCTCTTCTATTCACATTACTCTCTTCTATTCACATTACTCTCTTCTATTCACATTACTATCTTCTATTCACATTACTCTCTTCTATTCACATTACTATCTTCTATTCACATTACTCTCTTCTATTCACATTACTATCTTCTATTCACATTACTCTCTTCTATTCACATTACTATCTTCTATTCACATTACTCTCTTCTATTCACATTGTCTCTCAGCAGACTTTTATGGGTAAACGACGCAGCTTTTATTATATTTGTGCTTAGTGCAGGTACTTGTCTCCCCCCTGTTTTTATCCTCCAGCTATGCCGTCTTCTGCTGTGTCGTTTTCCCCCAAATTCTCTCTCTGTTCCTCTCAGCTGTGCGACTGCATACATCCTGCTGGCAGAGGAGGAGGCCACCACCATCGTGGAGGCAGAGAAGCTCTTCAAACAGGCCGTGAAGGCAGGAGAGGGCTGCTACAGACGCAGCCAACAGCTCCAACACCACGGGGCGCAGTATGAGGCACAGCACAGTGAGTAGAGGACACACGCGCGCAGTCGAACATACGCATGCACACGGTCGGACAGACACACACACACACACACGCACTCAAACACTTACACATACGCGAATAAATGTATTTGTGTGCGCGTGCGGATGTGTCTGAATGTGTATGTGTCTGTAAGCATGTGTCCATGTGTCTGTTATACCAGTTAAAATAACTTTGCTGTGCTGTGTCTCTCAGGAAGGGACACCAATGTTCTGGTATACATTAAGAGGAGACTGGCCATGTGCTCTAGAAAGCTGGGCCGAACCAGAGAAGCTGTCAAAATGATGAGAGACGTAAGTACAGTATACGCCAAGCTGCCAGGATGTTACGGGTGAATCCTAGCTTCCACTTAAGTAGAACTTTCAGTTAGTCCAAGGGGGGCTAAGTGAACATTTTACTTTAGTGAAAGTTAGGATTTGCCCCAGTTTTACATGCCCACATTTTCAGTCACTATACATTGTCGATAATGATGATATTCTGACATTCATTCAATTGGGGTTATTTGATGAGAACGTATCAGTAAATGTAAAATAAAAAAGGAGGGGTGTTTGAGGTAACCTGGTCCCAGATCTGTTTGCGCTGTCGTGTCATCTCCTATAGTCATTTCCATGCTAATTTTGCCATGACAGTGACCATAGGGGATGATGACAAGGCAGCACAAACAGATCTGGGACCAGGCTAGGTCTGAGGCTGTGTGGGACTGGGCGGAGTAACTAAACTCATGTTGCTGACTGTGTTGTGTTTCACTGCCTGTCCGGTATTACATGTAACAACAGTTGTATGTTTTCCAGTTAATGAAGGAGTTCCCTCTCCTCAGTATGTTCAATATCCATGAGAACCTGCTGGAGTCACTACTAGAGTTGCAGAACTACGCAGACGTACAGGCCGTACTAGCCAAGTACGACGGTAAGACACACTCACAGTGAGTGAAAAAGAGTCAACGTTAATCGTTGCTCATTGGTGATGCTTGAATGCTTCTATAACAGACATCTATGCAGTGCTAACAATGTCACTTGTGATTTTATTTCTGTGGATTAGACAACCAGCCGTAGGGGAAGTTTGAATGACAGACATTAGATAACAAAAGTCATAAAATGCAAATAATTAGATAATAGATGTTAACTTCTAACCATTATGACTTAAAGTAAAGTGAGAGTTTATTATAGTAAAATCCTGACCCCTGTAAACCCTTCTGGGTCCTATTCCAACTGTCCTATTTTTCCCTGTCTACTGTCATTTCATTGTGTGTAATTGTTATTTTTCCTCCACTTAACACTGTTCATGTCTGCTTTGTCTCCTGACAGATATTAGTTTACCCAAATCTGCAACAATATGCTACACAGCAGCTTTGCTCAAAGCCAGGGCGGTATCGGACAAGTGAGTATCCGTTTACTGCTGTTACAATGGCACCAAGTGGTTCACATACCTGGAGTAGTATTTAAAAGTTAGCCTGGGGCTATCTGTGCGACAGAGAGAATGGTATTGAGTGATTGCGTTTTGAAATGGGTTAGGGGCAATTGTATTTTAAAATAGTTATGTGTATTGTGAAAAGACTACTGTGAGGATTACATTTTTCTTAGCCCTTATGCCTGCACACGCACACTTACACATTGACACTTTCATACACACGCACTACACTTTCACATACACTCACTTTCATACACACACACACACACACACACTGATCCCCCCACACACATACTCATCTTTGACAGTGTCCTTTGTTCCCCATGCAGGTTTTCTCCAGAGGCAGCGTCGAGGCGAGGGTTGAGTACAGCAGAGATGAATGCTGTAGAAGCCATACACAGAGCTGTGGAGTTCAACCCACACGTCCCCAAAGTATGACACAACAATGGAGCTACGCACTTAACACTGCTAGTAGCAGTATTACTACTGTACCTCCACTAACTACACTGAACCAAAATAAAACCCAAAATGAAAAGTGTTGGTCCCATGTTTCAACTGAGGAGTATTTCTGTCTGTAATACAGCCCTTTTGTGGAGAAAAACTCATTCTAATTGGCTGGGCCTGGCTCCCAAGTGGGTGGCCCTATGTTTTGTTTAGTATACTACCACTAATACTACTGCTATGCTTCTGATGGTGCTACTTCAATTAAATACTGATTGATGTTCTCCTGGTTGTAAGATAACTGGTATAACTTTGCATTAAGAAGTATGTATGTTTATGTTGTACATTTTATATTGTCCTTACTGACTGTCGCTCTACCTTCCCCCTCCCCCTCTCACCGTCTCGCTCTCTCTCTTTCTCTCTCTCTCTCTCCACAGTACCTGTTAGAAATGAAAAGTTTAATACTGCCCCCAGAGCACATTCTGAAGCGAGGGGACAGTGAGGCCATAGCCTACGCATTCTTCCACCTGCAGCACTGGAAGAGGGTGGAGGGGGCCCTTAACTTGCTCCACTGTACCTGGGAGGGCAGTGAGTAACACAAATCAGCTTTACCTTATACGCCATAACAACTTCATTGTGTTACACATTTTGCAGTGATTACAATAAAAAATTGCTGATTTTTCTCATGCTACTCCATTTTGATGCATAACCCCTCCACACTTAGCTCAGCACAAACATTTGTACATGACTGTACCTATTCTGAATGCTGTGTGTCTTCTTTCCTCCCCAGCGTTTAGAATGATCCCGTACCCTCTGGAGAAAGGCCACCTCTTCTACCCATACCCCATCTGCACCGAGACCGCAGACAGAGAGCTGTTACCAAGTAAGAGACGCTCTGGATTCAAGTGTGTGTGTTTGTGTATATACTGAGTGTACAAAACATTAGGAACACCTTCCTAATATTGAGTTGCACCCCATTTTGCCCTCAGAACAGCCTCAATTCGTTGGGGCATGGACTCTGCAAGGTGTCGAAAGCATTCCACAGGGATGCTGGCCCATGTTGACTCCAATGCTTCCCACAGTTTTGTCAAGTTGGCTGGATTTCCTTTGGGTGGTGGACCATTCTTGATTCACACGGGAAACTGTTGAGCGTGAAAAACCCAGCATCGTTGCAGTTCTTGACACACACAAACTGGTGCGCCTGTCACCTACTACCATACCCCGTTCAAAGGCACTTAAATATTTTGTCTTTCCCATTCACCTTCTGAATGGCACACACATGCAATCCATGTTTCAATTGTCTCAAGGCTTAAAAATCCTTCTTTAACCTGTCTCCTCATCTACACTGATTTGAAGTGGATTTAACAAGTGACATCAATAAGGGATCATAGCTTTCACCTGGATTCACCTGGTCAGTCTATGTCAGGGTTCTTCAATTCCGGTCCTGGAGGGCCGAAACACTTCTGTTTTTTATTTCTACCTGGTAGTTAATTGCACTCACCTGGTGTCTCAGGTCTGAATTAGCCCCTGATTTAGAAGGAGAGGATGAAAAACAGAGGTGTTTCGGCCCTCCAGGACTGGAATTGAAGAACCCTGGTCTATGTCATGGAAAGAGCAGGTGTTCCTAATGTTTTATACACTCAGTGTATGTGTGTGTTGACTCTGAGTTGTTGTGTGTGTGTGTGTGAGGTGTACTCTTGGGTTAAAATTCTCTGTCACTGCAACGGATTTCAGTCATATGGATGGGTTTGGGGGGGGATTATTATTTTGGGCTAAAGGCCCAGTGCAGTCAAAATTCAGTTGTTCCTGTGTTTTGTATCATACTGTACAACAGTTGATGAAACTAACACTGTAAAAGTGTGATTTTTAAAATCAGTGTTATTTCCTGATTGAAAATACAATTTACACAGGAGCTAGTCAGCAGATTTGCATGGGCGGGAGTTTTGGCTTTCCATTGTGACATCACCATGCGGTCAATTGGTTAATAGACCAATAAGAAAGAGAGTTCCAAACCACTCTGCCAATAACAGCTAGTTTTCAGTTTTCCCCTCCCAACTCAGACCACTTTTAATGAAAATCTATTACAGTAAGGTACTTAATTGTTACCCAGAAATGATATTGATATTGATATAAAAATGGCTGCATTGGGCATTTAAACAAAAAAACTCCAGGCCACACTTGAACGTATAAAACTAGATAGAAAGTATATAGAAATGATAATGGACTTATATATTTTCAAATAACTGCCCTTTTTCTGGCCTGCAAATCGATTTAGACAAACAAATTGGTCATAAACAAATCTGTGTGGCCCTCCGTTGAATTTCGAAATCCCGATGTGGCCCTCGAGTCAGAGTTTCCCACCGATCTGAGATTGACTTAAGTTTAAGTAATGGGATTTCATTTAGCTTTAACCCCTCTGTACTGTGTGTATGTATGTCTTTGCGTGTATACAGTGTTGACCCTGTCTATGTATCTCTCTAATGTGGAAGCAGTGTGTCATGAGGTGTTGGTGTACAGTGTGTGTGTGTGTGTGTATAAAGTATGAACAGTGTGTTGATGCTCTCGCTCTATATCTCTCTCATGTGGAAGCAGTGTTTCATGAGGTGTCAGTGTACCCTAAGAAGGAGCTGCCGTTCTTCATCTTGTTCACGGCTGGTCTCTGCTCCTTCACTGCCATGCTGGCCCTCCTCACACACCAGTTCCCCGAGCTCATGGGAGTCTTTGCTAAAGCTGTGAGTCTCCTGCACCGCTCTCACACACTAACCAGTTCTCTTTGTAAGTCAAATCCCCAATAAGGTTCTTTGCATTCAGATTCTTTGTAAGGTGGTCATTAATTTTGTTGCGTTCATGTCCTGGACAGCAGTTGCCGTTGGGCCATTTTGGTTTTGAATGTAACAATCATAGACCTGCCTTCATCTGAAGTCTGGATGACAGGAGACTAGCCAAGCTCTATACAAGTTGATGCAAGATCCTCTTATCAATGTAAGTTATTGTAGATCAGGGAAGGAAATAGCAGCTTCAGACTAAAGGAAGCAGCTTCAGACTATTGAATCCACCCCCCTAGAACCTACACAGGCCCTCTCCCATCTGCCAGTGGAGGGCACTGTCCTCTCCTCTACCTAATGTTCTTCCTCAGCAGGCTTGTACTGTCTGTGATGCCACTCCCCTGGAATGTGTGTGAGCTCATGTCTCTGCTCCGTGCTCCTGGGGTGACACAATCAGCAGCTACTATCTCCTCTGCAGGGGCTTGCTCTGGCTCCACACTGGTTGGGTGCTGCCTGCGAAGAGCTGATGGCACACACACATTTTAAATACTTTATTTAAATCCACAAATCACATTACAGTCGAGAAGGATTCAAACATTTCAAAGGTCATGGTTATCTGGACAATTCTGGATATAGAAAGCACCTTCTCCATACAGCTATGCTGTCCATGATCGCTGACACAAAGCAGTACCTTGCTAGCTGCTTTGCCTTTGTCCTATGCAGGCCTGCAATCTGAAGGCCACGTACTGTCAGCCTATGTACTTGGCCGAAACTCCCAAATATAACTCCCAAATATCAGCACCACAACTGATAACCAAGGCAGTTCAGGCGTGACATAAGGGGCTGGTATTTCAGCAACTTGGCAGCAAAGGTATGCTCCATGTAGGAGTCAAAAGAGCAACCCACTTCCAAAATGAGCACCTCCCTCCGGCCTCCCCCCACAACAACAATATCTGCCATATTTGGTATACAAGAAAGCACATCATCATCAGCATCAAACCAGCCTCCTCTGACAAGAGAATGTTTGTGCATATGCACTGATGGTGGTACTGTCTGTCTCACCTCACTAGCTAGAAGATCAACAAGGCGGTCATGTCTAGCTATGTACAGGTAGGTCCTTGTATGAACGGCAACCATTAACATGTGCAACAGACTCCATTACATTTGACTCATGTGAGATATAAGTGGATCATGGTTTGCAGGGTACCACAGTGCTAGATTGTATTTTGTTGGTAGAACCTGCAGCCTCGTCTTAACGATAAAGGTGAGAATGTCTTCGCCAATAGCAGCATTCTGGTATACAGAATGAGAGAAAGAATGGTCAGACGTGTACACACACACAAACGCTCTCTGCCCCACTTCCAATACTTTGAAAATGCACTCTTCTAAGACAAACTAATCAGCACCTGGTTTACACGCTAGGGTTCAAATAGATGAACCTTCTTCCTTCCTCGCTTCCTTAAAGTAACTGTCCAGTGTTTCCAGATTTCTATGAAATAGGACCTTCAGTTAATTACAATATGAGTGAAATAGTTTTCCTTCCAAAACATTCTAATTAAGTATGTTAAAAAGCAGCTTTTCTGTGTTGGAATGGTGTTGGCGTACCCCAACAACAGACTGGTGTGGGCGGATACAGGTCATAAAAAATAACAATGCGAGTAGGCCGGTGATTGGCCAGCTCATTCTCCTCTGAGGAAATAGCAAGTTTTTTAAACTGTCTGTTTTGAGATACAAGTTTGAGGTGGGGTCCTCCAATTTATGCTTTGGCCATAAATACGAGTATATGATGAGTCAACAACAATATTTGGGTATGAGTTAACAGAATATGAACTTTGAAGTGAGAATTTCACTGGACAGTTACTTTACAGTAATCACTGATCTAATATGATTGAATGGATGAAACACGACTTGTCTTTCACCTATCAAATCATGTCAGATCAGTGGCTTCTCCCAAGGAAAGATGGAAGGAAGTAAGGGTGCATCTTCAAAGGATTGGAACAGGGCCTCTCTCCCTCTTAGCGTGTAAACGAGGTGCTCGTTTCACCTCTCTCTTTCCTTGATGGCCTTTTTATCTGCCATCTGACAAAGCTGAGCCTCCATGACCCGGAATCCCTCTGAGGGAGCCCCTATCTCCCACACTGCATGTTGCCAAAACACATTAGAGAGGAGCGAGGGATGAGAGAGGGGGGTGAACAGAGAGAGGGAAAGAACACATCTGAGAGAGAGAGAGAAGGGGGAGTGGAATGAGGGGCTGACAGAGAGAGTCCACCACCACTCTCAGGGGTTAGAGCACAGTCAGTAGTCTGTCAGCAGTCAACATACCTGGGAGACAAGTTATGGTTCTGCCCCATAGAGCACAGTACCTCAACTGGCATGCTATGGTGCTCCTATCATGGTCTTCTAGCATTTCAGGTCATCGACAACGCACAGTACCTACCTTGAAATGTGCAGAGCTTCAGTTGACGCTGAAAATAGTAGAGATGGCTACATTCTCAACTAGCATGTTATGGTGCTCCTACCATGGGCCTCTAGCTAGCATCTGAGTAGCATACAGTACCTTGAAATGTTCAGAAAGAGATCTGGTTCACCTTGGTTCCAGTAGGAATTGGCGTAGTGTGTGTGAGGTCATGTGTTCTAACATCTTCTCTCTCGCTGTCTGTCTCTGTAGTTTCTTAGCACCCTGTTTGCTCCTCTGAACTTCATCATGGAGAAAGTGGAGAGCATCCTGCCATCCAGTCTGTGGCACCAGCTCACACGCATCTAACAGTGACCAGCCCCGACCGGACTAGACTGAACCGGACTGACTGACACATTCTTTGTGCCAATATCATGGATTAGACGGACAGTGAGGATGGATTGGAAGAGAAGAGAAGAGAAAGAAGATTAAAGGGAAACATGGAATTCTGAATTGCTTTTGACTTTATTTGATATGTTTTCATTTTGTCTTCAAATCTCATGTAAAACCGTTTTTTTGTTGTACAAAAAAAGGTGATCAATTATCATCATTAAAAAAGTGGAAAAATACATAAAATAAAGGACTTTTTGTGTATTGCAATGTCTACCCTGCCATTTTGATTGTCAAGCATATCAAAATTGTAATAAATATTGGATCATAGCTGGAGGTTAGGTAACTAAACCGTGTTTTGTAACTGGCTGGTTGAGGAAAGGCTGTGTGGTCAGATCTGTTATCAATTTCAAACAGTTTCCATAAACTATATAGACATTGCAACAAAGCCGATGGGGCAAAACAGACTGGGTTGGCTTAGATAGTTGACATGTCCCCAATGTTTATTGAAAACAAATACATTTGCACAATGAGCACTTGTCTCTCAAATACATCGTTACAGTTGTTGGTTAGCTAGCTAGCGAAATTTAGCAATATTAGCATTGACATGAAATCAGTTGAAACACCTCAAAACAAGACATGGTATCAAGAATAACATGAAACGAGCCACTTACAATTCCCCACATGGCAGTTTCTTGTCATTCTTGCTAGCAATCTGGCCATCCAGAATCACAGCAACACGCTGACTTATGCCCCATGAAAGCGCACATAGTTTTCGTGACGTTGTCAGCTAACCCATCTATACTGTTTTCTTTTAAATTACATAGTTTGTATTTACATAAAAAAATGTATCCATTTCAGATAAAGGTTATTTTGTACTCTAAAAATAGTAAATAAATATAATGGAATGTGAGGGAAGAACAAAATTAGATTTGCGTAACTTTGGACTGTAAAAGGGCCTTATTGGTGGAGTAGCCTACAGGGGGCGTCAAACCGGGATGCTTCTTAGTCAGGTGCAAGTCAGACTGACTCTGGTGAAACATCCGAAATGCATTCTATTCCCTATTTAGTGCACTACTTTTGACCAGGACCCGCATAGGGCTCTGGTCAAAAGTAGTGCCCTATATAGGGAATAGGCTGCCATTTCAGACAGACTCTGCGCAAGCGGTTGGATGGTGGTTCACTATGGTCACGTCTGGGCCTTGCAGGTGTGCACATCCACCTCTAGGATGCAGTCCCGGCAGTGTACAGCGCAGCACCAGTGGAACTTGCACTCACACTTGGTGGTGCGGCTGATGTGCGACGTGTCATAGCCCCGGCCGCAGCACATCACCTCGCAGCTGTCCACGCCGCGAGACGTCCTGTTGCATACCCGCCCGCCTGTCCCCACCGAACCTGAAGAGGAAGAGAGAAATTAAGAGACACATATATTCTGTCTGTATATTGAGTCAGTAATTCCTAAAGCTTTATTACCTTGTGACCCACATACAAGCCTTTTCAAATGTGCTTACATCTCGCCAAATAGACTTAATCAAAATCCTACCAACCTAGCTGCAAGCCAGAGTTTAGCCGTAATAAAGTGATTGTTGGCAAACAGCGGTCTAAGCCCCAGTACCCTACAGGTATTGACATCATTCCAATAGAATACAGAGTACTCAATCTAAACTGAGACACAGACTGTGAGTGAGGGAGAAAGCAAGGGATGGGATGGGGGGGGAGAGGGAAGGATAAGAGGATGAACGGAGAGAGGACGGCGGAGGAGAGATGAGAGATTGATGATAGAAGCCATCAGCTGGGGCTCAGGGTCTTCATCAGGTGTTCATTTTACAGGTGCCTTCATTCTGTCTATCTACTGCTGGGATACACCCTGGCTGGCGCGCGCACACACACATTCTCACTGGCGCAAACTTACCCTGTCGGCTGTCATACACATACACACACATCCTGTCTCACTGACACACACGCTTGCACCTATCATCTCAGAATGAGGACACTGCAAGGGTGTCTGGCAGGCTTAATGGACTCACTCCCAGACATCAGCCAATAATACAGTTACACGATGAACTGCTAAATAAATAGTCAATATTAATCTTGAGGCCTCAACTCAAACCTCAATGGGATGAATCTCAATAGTCTAAAGTAGCTTCCTTTCCTTATCTCCTTCCTCTGCATTATGGTGAAACCCCTGGACAGGTGAAGGTAAATGTCCTGACTTAAAGGGGCTAGCTAGTGGTCGATATGGAATTGGGAACAGATCATGTCTGTTCTAGGCAGCCTATTTCTATGCCCCTCTGCTCTCTTTCTCCCTCCCTCTCTGTCCGTTTGACCATCTGTTCCTCTACTGAGGAGGAGGAGGGAGGGAGGGAGGGATAGAAAGAGGGAGAGCAGCCAGGTAATGTCTGGGCACGGCGAGACTCCACCCTCTCCTGACAACGCGTCCGCCCCTCCATCAGTCCTGGTATGCTGCACTGCTAGGGGTGACGTCACAAACAGACTCCTCCCCTCTTCTCTCTCGCTCTCTCTCTTCTCTTCTCTCTCTTCCTCCTCTCCTGCTCTTGCTCCCTCTCTCTCTCTTCTCTCCTGGCGTCTGCTTATTGAATTAAGATGAGGGGGCGCCGAGAGATGAGTTTAGCACCTGAGTCTCCATGCAGCCGAGGGAAATTGATTTCACACTTCGGAGAGGCACAAGGGGGTGCAGTCTCCACTGTGTGTGTGTGTGTGTGTGTATCCGTCTGTTTGTGTGTGTGTGTATTGTCCCAGATGACTGGAGCTAATGTCTGTGGAGAGAGGTTCTCACAAGAGGGGCCCTGATCAGTGAACTCACCATGCTAACATGTACATTGCCCATAAAGGGCCTTCATGCACTGGAACTGTACTGTACAAAACAGGACAAAACACACACACTTCAAAACAGAACTGTACATCACACAGTCATCAAAACAGCGAAGGTAGCCTACTGTAAGATGGAGTGCGTCTCAATAGTCTAAACCAGCTTCCTTTCCTTTTATCCTTTCCTTCACTCGCACTGACGTGAAAGACCTGTTCACCGGATTACCTTCACCTATCCTGTGACTTTAGGTCAGCGTAATGAAGGAGAGGAGACAAAGAGAGGAAGCAACTTCAGAAAGGCCCCCCAGCTCTACATTAGGGGTGGTTAGCTTTAATGGGCAAGCGTGCAGAGGTGTAGGTGCCATTGGTGTGCCCGTGTGTGTGCGTGCTCCAGAGGTGGTAATTTATAGCGGTGTGCGGCAGGTCAGGTTTCAGCCCAAAGAAGTGTGTAATGGCCCTTAAACTGTTCGACACCCGATCACCTTGGATCACCTACTGCCTGACAGGCACCCAGGTCTTCCGGATCACACACACTTTTCTTCCTCTCTCTCTCTCTCTCTCTCGCTCTCTCACACACACACACTTTTCTCCCTTTCTCTCTCTGTCAAACACACACTTTATTTTTTTGCCATCTCTCACACACCCACACACTTTTCTTCTCTCTCTCTCACGCACGTACACAAACACATTCTCTCTCTTTTGCACTCACTCACACACGCACTCTACATCTGGTGTTATTCAGTGCAGCTTGAAGAATAATCCTAAAGTACAAGAGACTGAGCGGTTACCCTCTGAAGATATTATGGACAAGTAGTATGGTGGACTGCTCTACAGACAGTCATGTCAGATGTCAAATAGATAGACAGCATACATATTCTAGTCAGTCTCTTTGCTTGCTTGTCTGTCTGTCCAATGTCAGTGTATACAGTGGGGGAAAAAAGTATTTAGTCAGCCACCAATTGTGCAAGTTCTCCCACTTAAAAATATGAGAGAGGCCTGTAATTTTCATCATAGGTACACGTCAACTATGACAGACAATGAGGGGAAAAAATCCAGAAAATCACATTGTAGGATTTGTTATGAATTTATTTGCAAATTATGGTGGAAAATAAGTATTTGGTCAATAACAAAAGTTTCTCAATACTTTGTTATATACCCTTTGTTGGCAATGACACAGGTCAAATGTTTTCTGTAAGTCTTCACAAGGTTTTCACACACTGTTGCTGGTATTTTGGCCCATTCCTCCATGCAGATCTCCTCTAGAGCAGTGATGTTTTGGGGCTGTCGCTGGGCAACACGGACTTTCAACTCCCTCCAAAGATTGTCTATGGGGTTGAGATCTGGAGACTGGCTAGGCCACTCCAGGACCTTGAAATGCTTCTTACGAAGCCACTCCTTCGTTGCCCGGGCGGTGTGTTTGGGATCATTGTCATGCTGAAAGACCCAGCCACGTTTCATCTTCAATGTCCTTGCTGATGGAAGGAGGTTTTCACTCAAAATCTGACGATACATGGCCCCATTCATTCTTTCCTTTACACGGATCAGTCGTCCTGGTCCCTTTGCAGAAAAACAGCCCCAAAGCATGATGTTTCCACCCCCATGCTTCACAGTAGGTATGGTGTTCTTTGGATCCAACTCAGCATTCTTTGTCCTCCAAACACGACGAGTTGAGTTTTTACCAAAAAGTTATATTTTGGTTTCATCTGACCATATGACATTCTCCCAATCCTCTTCTGGATCATCCAAATGCACTCTAGCAAACTTCAGACGGGCCTGGACATGTACTGGCTTAAGCAGGGGGACACGTCTGGCACTGCAGGATTTGAGTCCCTGGCGGTGTAGTGTGTTACTGATGGTAGGCTTTGTTACTTTGGTCCCAGCTCTCTGCAGGTCATTCACTAGGTCCCCCCGTGTGGTTCTGGGATTCTTGCTCACCGTTCTTGTGATCATTTTGACCCCACGGGGTGAGATCTTGCGTGGAGCCCCAGATCGAGGGAGATTATCAGTGGTCTTGTATGTCTTCCATTTCCTAATAATTGCTCCCACAGTTGATTTCTTCAAACCAAGCTGCTTACCTATTGCAGATTCAGTCCTCCCAGCCTGGTGCAGATCTACAATTTTGTTTCTGGTGTCCTTTGACAGCTCTTTGGTCTTGGCCATAGTGGAATTTGGAGTGTGACTGTTTGAGGTTGTGGACAGGTGTCTTTTATACTGATAACAAGTTCAAACAGGTGCCATTAATACAGGTAACGAGTGGAGAACAGAGGAGCCTCTTAAAGAAGAAGTTACAGGTCTGTGAGAGCCAGAAATCTTGCATGTTTGTAGGTGACCAAATACTTATTTTCCACCATAATTTGCAAATAAATTCATAAAAAATCCTACAATGTGATTTTCTGGAGAGAAAAAATCTCAATTTGTCTGTCATAGTTGACGTGTACCTATGATGAAAATTACAGGCCTCTCTCATCTTTTTAAGTGGGAGAACTTGCACAATTGGTGGCTGACTAAATACTTTTTTCCCCCACTGTATAACTGCTTTGAACATTGAGAACTGTGGAGTAAATCTGAACGTCACAAACTGTGTGCGGTTGACTGGTCCTCACCAGACTCACCGGAATCTTGGTCTCGTATGCAGTAGTCTGGCGAGTCCTCGAAGTAGACCAGGTCGTTCTTGCTGGGCCGTTTGAGGTGTTGCTGTGCGGTGGTGAAGCCCGTGCCATACTGGTTCATGACCACCTGCACTGCCCCGTTGTAGCGGCGCCGCAGGTGGTCGCCCGTGCGGCGGAAGTCGGCCAGGGCCAGCCAGCAGGTCCGGACACTGCAGGAGCCGCTCACGCCGTGACACTTACACTCCAGAGACATAAACCGCTTCACCGCCTGGGAGATGAGGAGGGAGAAGATGCAAGTCAGGGGGCTAGGTGTGTGTCAGGTTTGTGGAAGAGTGGTGGTAGGACGTTAGGGTGTGTGTGTATGTGTGTGTAAGGGAACTGCACTGGGCAACCGTCTATATACTTCCTCTAGATCAGTGTTTGACTACTTGATTCAGGTGTGAATAGTTCAGGGCAATAAAAAATATGTAAAACGTCTGGTGATTCCTCTCAACACTGATCTAGATCCAGTTGGTTGTGGTCCATCCCTCAATGTGTATGAACTTTGAACCCACCTTCCTTCCGGCGCGGTTGTTGTGAAGGTTCATCAGAGCCCTGGCATCTCTCTCCTTCCGCTCTTTGGCGTCTACAAAGGCCTGGCTGAACCTCATGGCGTGCTCCACGTGGTCGCTGCAGCCGCCCCAGGCGAACGCCCCCTTGGCGTCCCGGGACGAGCCCTTCTTGGTGGGGTCGCAGGAGCACGACTGCAGCTCTCCCTGGCTGCAGGCTCGGGTCAGGGTGTGGACCACCCCGGCCGAGGAGATGGCGTACACAAAGGCTGCTTCACGACTGCCTGGAAGAGAGGGAGAGAAGGGTACTGGATGAGCATTAGTGGTGTGACAGGATGGACGGGGACACACAAACACAGGTAACAGTATACACGAGTGGTATGTTTTACTGCCTGGGGAATAGGGGGAGGCTAAGCACACACTACACACACACTACACACACGCTTGAAACAGCATACACACCAGATGGTATAAATTACATGGACACAAGTATTAGGCATACCCACGGGCCAAGGCTCAAATGCACAAAAGCACACATTTGCTCATTGTACACACTTAGAAGTTACACAAATATGCAGATATAAATTGTATACATCTAGTAATCCCATAAAGATGCATAGAAAATCTACAGTAATCGTGCAGTACGGAAAAGTTATGTATTTCCATAATCTCACTAGGGGTGTCACAGTTCAAATAGGATCTTCATTGGAGCTTCAACACAAAACACAAAGAGCTATTGGTTACTGCTGCTGTTGCTGTACCTGCATGAATACTATCTGTTGCTGCTTTCGTTTCAAGTCTTTTATTTCATGCATGGCAGTGTTTTGCGTCATCTAACTCTGAGATGGATAAACAGGTAACATTTCCCAGCAATGTTCTGTGATAAAGGACCCGTATGACCTGACTGCTCTTGTAACTGATGAGAGATCTGTGGGATCAAAGGCCATAAATGACAAGAAGGGTGTGTGTGCGTGCGAGTGTGTGCGTGTGGGTGTCCAGTCAGGAAACATCCAACTTCTGCTCTTCTGTGGGTGAGTGTCTTTAACACGGTTAATAGGGATGATAAACCAACCAAACGATGGGAACATGAAACCAAAAAGAAAACCCAGTAATTGTTTTAAATTAGCGTTCAGACATTGACAATAAGTAGCTCTCACGGTGCCACAGCGATAATGCCGCCAATCAGAGCAGCTTCCTAATGTCGTGTGACACAACCAGAGCCGCGCTTGGGAGGTCCGAATACCACAGGGCCAATTAAATAACCAGATTACATGGACCTCTCAGGGCCGGTTGCCCTGACACATATTAAGCCTTGTCCTGAACTAAAAAATACTTTCAATGATAAATCTCCATTGAGCATGCTTCTTAGTCCAGGGCTAGTCTTAATGTACAGTGGGGAAAAAAAGTATTTAGTCAGCCACCAATTGTGCAAGTTCTCCCACTTAAAAAGATGAGAGAGGCCTGTAATTGTCATCATAGGTACACGTCAACTATGACAGACAAAATGAGAAAAAAAAATCCAGAAAATCACATTGTAGGAGTTTTAATGAATTTATTTGCAAATTATGGTGGAAAATAAGTATTTGGTCAATAACAAAAGTTTCTCAATACTTTGTTATATACCCTTTGCTGGCAATGACACAGGTCAAATGTTTTCTGTAAGTCTTCACAAGGTTTTCACACACTGTTGCTGGTATTTTAGCCCATTCCTCCATGCAGATCTCCTCTAGAGCAGTGATGTTTTGGGGCTGTCGCTGGGCAACACAGACTTGGGCAACACAGACTTTCAACTCCCTCCAAAGGTTTTCTATGGGGTTGAGATCTGGAGACTGGCTAGGCCACTCCAGGACCTTGAAATGCTTCTTACGAAGCCACTCCTTCGTTGCCCGGGCGGTGTGTTTGGGATCATTGTCATGCTGAAAGACCCAGCCACATTTCATCTTCAATGCCCTTGCTGATGGAAGGAGGTTTTCACTCAAAATCTCACGATACATGGCCCCATTCATTCTTTCCTTTACACGGATCAGTCGTCCTGGTCCCTTTGCAGAAAAACAGCCCCAAAGCATGATGTTTCCACCCCCATGCTTCACAGTAGGTATGGTGTTCTTTGGATGCAACTCAGCATTCTTTGTCCTCCAAACACGACGAGTTGAGTTTTTACCAAAAAGTTATATTTTGGTTTCATCTGACCATATGACATTCTCCCAATCCTCTTCTGGATCATCCAAATGCACACTAGCAAACTTCAGACGGGCCTGGACATGTACTGGCTTAAGAAGGGGGACACGTCTGGCACTGCAGGATTTGAGTCCCTGGCGGTGTAGTGTGTTACTGATGGTAGGCTTTGTTACTTTGGTCCCAGCTCTCTGCAGGTCATTCACTAGGTCCCCCCGTGTGGTTCTGGGATTTTTGCTCACCGTTCTTGTGATCATTTTGACCCCACGGGGTGAGATCTTGTGTGGAGCCCCAGATCGAGGGAGATTATCAGTGGTCTTGTATGTCTTCCATTTCCTAATAATTGCTCCCACAGTTGATTTCTTCAAACCAAGCTGCTTACCTATTGCAGATTCAGTCTTCCCAGCCTGGTGCAGGTCTACAATTTTGTTTCTGGTGTCCTTTGACAGCTCTTTGGTCTTGGCCATAGTGGAGTTTGGAGTGTGACTGTTTGAGGTTGTGGACAGGTGTCTTTTATACTGATAACAAGTTCAAACAGGTGCCATTAATACAGGTAACGAGTGGAGGACAGAGGAGCCTCTTAAAGAAGAAGTTACAGGTCTGTGAGAGCCAGAAATCTTGCTTGTTTGTAGGTGACCAAATACTTATTTTCCACCATAATTTGCAAATAAATTCATTAAAAATCCTACAATGTGATTTTCTGGAGAGAAAAAATCTCAATTTGTCTGTCATAGTTGACGTGTACCTATGATGAAAATTAAAGGCCTCTCTCATCTTTTTAAGTGGGAGAACTTGCACAATTGGTGGCTGACTAAATACTTTTTTTCCCCACTGTATGTCCGGAAAACTGGCCCTTAAAGTTCCGCCTCAGATTCATTTAGGGCCCATTTAGGAGCAGGAGGACTGGGACATGATGCCCAATAGAATTACCAATTCAATTTATATGACCACCCCAAGGTCTAGAGTGGATCCTCAGATTTATACCAATGAAAAAGAGATTCCAAAGTTAAGAGAAGTAATTAGTAGGACTAATATATCCATAGCTGGTCAGGTGACGAGATGGGAGGTGACACTTTCTTATTCTTGACTCCCCACATTCGTCAGGTGTGGCAGTTTTAAAAGCATGCAGCGCATTGGATCAGATACCGATCAGAGCAGCAGCAAGCACTTGCGTCAACTTGATAAATGTATGACAGTAAAGTGAGACAATGCATGGAATGCAATGCAAGCACGGGGGGGAAACATCTGTCAAGGAAGAACATGTATTTCACACAAATTCTTTCACTTTGATAAACGCTAGAATAACTTTATAGGTTCACCACTGTGAATAATTGGTTGGAGAAAAAGCGCATACCATTTTGCCATTGATCTCGGAGCCTATAGTCTATAGCAGATGTGAATGATAAGATCACCATTTACAAGCCTATCGTACAGACGTGCGTGTCTTGTAAATGAGGATGAGTAGCCTATATCACTTTCCCAGCACACAATATAAACATAACCCAGCATATTTCAGTGGTTTTCAGACTTTTCTTGCCAAGGGACCCCCGCCCAGACAAACCGGCGACCCAAGGATCCCCATCATATGCCATGTCAAAAAGTAATGTCTTGACCCAAGGACCCCCATCATATGCCATGTCAAAAGGTAATGTCTTGTCTTATCATCAGGTGAATGATAATGGAAAGTAGAAGTAATTTTTTTTTTAATTAAAAGATTTGGTAGACAGTTTCATTATTTTGAGCTCCCCACAGTTCACTGGAAGAGGAAGTGTAAACTCTAACACAGCCTATTAGCTAGAAAGGTATCTTGGCTGCCGAGAGGAAATGTGCTGTTGTAAAGCTAATTTTCTGCAATTCTACAGATCTTTCCATTGAGCTTATAGAAAATGTAGCAGATTTGAAGCAAATTTCCAGCAATTCTTCACAGTTTGGCATGGCTAATGCGGTGTTCCTCTACTCAAACATAACAAAATCAATGGGCATGTGCCCTGAATGCCCGGTTTTTGGAAATGTTGATTCTCCCTGTCTTGCTTTTATTTGATTGTTAGTTCTCAAAGATGGTATTATTCAAAAAAATATATATAGTTCAATATTTTTCCTGCATGCTTTCAATTTGCTTTTGGTCGTTTAAGTTGACACTGAAACTATTTCTCCATCCTGAAAATTACAAATGTTTCCCCAGAGTTGGATAAACAGGAACTAGCATGCTAACTGTTCCTATAGACTTACATTTACATTTACATTTACGTCATTTAGCAGACGCTCTTATCCAGAGCGACTTACAAATTGGGACTTCAAGTCATTGTGCTAATGCTGGTTAGCATTGGCTCCTGACACGAGTTTTAAAACCCCTGATCTATTTTACACATGGTAATTTAATAGCTGCTATTATTAGCTGCGCAATTTATCTGTCATAACATGTTCATACCCATATTTCAGTCAGAAAATATATATTTGCTTCATATAAACCTTAGACCTACGTCTGCGCGGGATAAATTAAATATCTTAAATACTTATTTTTAAAGTAGGGCCTATTTTCTCTCTCTCTCTCAATACTTACTACGCAGCAGTAGGCGTCCGAACACATTGTGGTCTCTCGCTATGGTATTGCAGTTCCAGCGGTGGTTCTGAAACTGATGTTGGCACTCTCCGATCCAGCCTTTAAACCCGGCTCCGATCGCCTGCATAATGTTGGGATGCTGGCGGCACAGATGCCGCTGTTTGTTGACCAACCCTGGGATGTTGTCGCACATCACTTGCGACCCAAGGGTACCCATGTACCTGCAAAGAAAGATTAGGTTTTGGCTTGGACCATGCAGATGTAATGCAAATGTAATCTGTTTTAATGTCCATGAGGCAATGATGGGTTATTAAAAAAAGAATGGGAAAAAGTAGGCTTCTACAACACTCGAATAAAGGAATAAAAAAATAATCTGCCCCATAAAATGTGTCCAAATTAAAGAAACATGCATGCATGTCTAACGTTATTGGGGGATATATTATATTATTTTACACACAAACGTATTATCAATTTTTGACAATGATTCAACTAGTTTAATTAAAACAATCGTTTAAACACAGATCATAGCCTATATGTGTCCAAAGTCACATCACATGTAGTCTCACGCAGTCCTTGCCTATTAGCCTACTATAAAGTAAAGACTTCATTGTGTAGGCTATACTTATTTTTCCTATAGCCTATAATCACTGCATAATATTTAATATATTTTCTATTAACTTTACACTATTAACTTTATGCATTAGTGGTTGGTGCTATGTTCACATTTTTGAGTCTACTCACCACCAAGATCCGTCGACCCTTGACGTTAGCCAGCAGATTGCTACAGATAAATAAAAACATATTCCACTTGGCAATAAGTTCATATTACTAAGTTGTATCGGTGTGCACATTCAGGCACTTGTACTAAGCATTTCCATGAGTAGACAAGAACACAGGCGCGCGTCAGACTGGAGTCTTGACAGCTTCTCGATTGCACAAATCAAAGTTCTGCTTTGTCTTGAATTAAAAATCGATAATCATAAGAGGTTTACCGCCCGGACGGATCTTCGTACATAAAAACCATAACGGTTATATGACAACGATAATGGTAAAGAAGCGCAATAGATGTTGGAAGCGCATGAGATATTGGGTCTATCTAAAGTTAACAGATATTTACAGTGTAAAGATAGGCAGATGATCGTTTGCTATCAGGTTTAAATTGCTTACACAAGGGGTGGGCGCAGTACTGTCTCAGGAATGAGGTGAAGAAATTAGATTTCTTTAAGTATATGTTCAGGCTAGCTTGATACCAGACACAAGCTTGGCCGATTTCCAAGCGGCAAGGTGTAGAATGTGGCACAAAGTGATGTGTTAAACCCTGAGCGTTTTAACAAAAACAATCAAATTGACGTGTTTGGGAGGAACTGGTGCGCTGCAAACGTGCTTAGTTATGCTTATGCCTATAATACCCAGGTGCCAAATATTCCAGAAACGCACAGCCATGACGCCATATTATGCACACAGATTAAGTATTAGACGTGGAGATGGGGCAAGGAATAATATTATTTGAAGAAGCTAAATGCAGATTTCTCAAAGGCCGCCCAAAACTGTGTGTGTGCATTTACAATTAGATTATCAAAGTCTTTTGAACTCGTTTCTCGATCTGTACGATTGTCACATTGTATTTTCTTTATCTTTGATCTCCGCTTTATGAAAGCGATTTAATGTTCCCAATCCCGTCTCTTCTTTGTATTGGGAGGTCTGGTGGTCGGTCTCCTGTCTGGATGAGATTAATGCTGAAATTGGATTCTCTCATGATCTTCGTGGAAGAAACGAACAAGACGCAGGAAAATTCATAAAAACCAACATGCCACCAGTAGAAAAACGTTATAATGCTTGGAGTATAAACTATTTGGAGAGACAAAAGATTAACATAGTATTCTTTCAATTACATTTATCAGCCCTTGAAATAATATAAAAAACCTGTTAGAAGTTGTAAACAAAATTAAAATTGAAAATGTCTACTAACTGTATCTTCAAGAAGAAATACGATATTTCCATAAGACAAACAATATTTACTTTATATCCGAACAAATTCAAATAGTTTTAGTCATATAGTCAACTTAAAGTATTGAATCTTTAACAATATGTAGGGCATGGATTTCACTGACAGTGTCCTGACTTGTGCAGCAATTTAATGCAGTAAAATGCTGGATAAAGAAAGGGTTTTTATTTTCAAAAGCCCACAAAGGATTAAGAACAAAATACATAAAAACAATTAAGAACCAAGTATACAAAATAAAAGGAACCTCAATCAAAAACTAAAACGTTTCTTGAAAGGTCTGCATTTGAGATATTCTTATTTGGTATAATTCCTCAAACAGAAATGTCAATTAGCTAAGACAATTAAGCAAATTGATTGATAACCTTTGACCTATGACATCATTTATCCAAAGTAATAGTGATTGGATATTATGGGCAGGGGTGGTGTCTAGGTAAACCTTGACACTCTTGGCTCTGGACAGGGCAAACAGCAGGCCTGCGCCGAGCATGCTCAGTGAGAGCATTTTCAGAACCCGTCTTCTCTAGTCGCCGTGGGAACCAGGGCACGATTCTCCGGCCGGGTCCATCTTAGGAGGAGCGGAGTGCATGGAGCTGGAGTGGAGCGGAGCGTGAGTAATTTGGCTGAACCGTGGGCTTTCTCTCCCGCTCCAATTTCGCTCCGGTACCGCTCAGCCACAAGCTCTGCCCATGCTCTGCCCAGCACTGTTCTTTTTAATTAGGCCTATTCTGTTGTATACCCAACCACTAATGCGCAGAGATGTTGATATGAGTCGACCAAGAAATAGGTTACACAGCCTGTGAAATTGATGGCAAGACAACCAATGAGCCCATGCAGCAGCATCAGAGATGTTTTGTTTTCTATATAGACTATTATTGAAAAAAGAGGAGTCTAAGTTTGTAACAGTGCTAAAGTTTTCTATCAACTGTCAAATGTAAGAGCAACAGAGCCAGTTACAACTGAAATATCTGATCATCAATAGATTAGAGAAAAAGTGACCACACAGCCCATCACCTAGGTAGGTCCTTATTTAATAGCCTACAACATGTTGTTGTTCAAAACCAAATGGTACATAGTCACAAAAGTATGTGTTTGTTAAATTATCTTTTTAAACAAAAAATGAATGGAGCTAATTTGGAGCAGCAGTTTATTTTCCTGTGAGTGCTAAGCAATTTTTAGCGGAGTGGGGGAAAGGGCATTGAGCGCCAGAGCAGTGCGCAAAGACCACTTCGTGAGCGATGAGTGGGATTTCCAACAGCTCAACTCCGCTCACATGCTCTGACACACACACCACTTCAAGTGGACATAATTACCTAATGCCGGGTCTGACTCTGACCTAATCCTGACCGGACCAGACCCGTTTATGTTGCATCCCAAATTGCACCCTATTCCCTACATAGTGCACTACTTGGACTTTGCTGTGAGTACACTACAGCTGTGAGTCTTTCTAGGTAAGACTCTAAGAACTTTCTACACGTGGATTGTGAAAGATTTGCCCATTATTCTTTTCAAAATTCTTCAAGCTCTCTCAAATTGGTTGTTGATCATGGCTAGACAACCATTTTCAGGTCTTTCCATAGATTTTCAAGTAGATTTAATTCAAAATTGTAACTCGGCCACTCAGGAACATTCACTGTCTTCTTGGTAAGCAACTCCAGTGTAGATTTGGCCTTGTGTTTTAGGTTATTGTCCTGCTGAAAGGTGAATTCATCTTCCAGTGTCTGGTGGAAAGCAGACTGAGCCAGGTTTTCCTCTAGGATTTTGCCTGTGCTTAGCTCCATTCCGTTGCTTTTTTAACTGGAAAAACTCCCCAGTCCTTAACGATTACAATCATACCAATAACATGATGCAGCAACCACTACAGTATGCTTGAAAATATGAAGAGTCTTACTCAGTAATGTGTTGAATTGGATTTTCCCCAAACAAAACAATTTGTATTCAGGACAAAAAGTGAATTGCTTTGCCAAATTTTTTTTGCAGTATTACTTTAGTGCCTTGTTGCAAACAGGATGCATGTTTTGGAATATTTGTATTTTGTACAGGCTTCCTTCTTTCACTTGGTCAATCAGGCTAGTATTGTAGAGTAACTACAATGTTGTTGATTCATCCTCAGTTTTCTCCTATCACAGCCATTAAACTCTGTAACTATTTTAATGTCACCATTGGCTCACGGTGAAATCCCTGAGCGGTTTCCTTCCTCTCCGGCAACTGGGTTAGGTAGGACGCCTGTATCTTTGTAGTGACTGGGTGTATTGATACATCATCCAAAGTGTAATGAATAACTTCACCATGCTCAAAGGGATATTCAATGTCTGCTTCTTTTTTTGTTTTACCAATCTACCAATAGGTGCCCTTCTTTGCGAGGCATTGGAAAACCTCCCTGCTCTTTGTGGTTGAATCTGTGTTTGAAATTCACTGCTCGACTGAGGAACCTTACAGATAATTGTATGTGTGGGGTACAGAGATTAGGGAATCATTCAAAAATCATGTTAAACACTATTAATGCACACAGAGTGAGTCCATGCAACTTATTATGTGACTTAAGCAAATGTTTACTCCTGAACTTATTTAGCCTTGCCACAACAAAGGGGTTGAATACCTATTGAAAAACATAATTCCACTTTGACATTATGGAGTGTATTGTGTGTAGGCCAGTGACAAAACAATCTAAGCGTGATCAATTTTACATTCAGGCTGTAACACAACAGCTTCTATGATTCTGGTGTGTTACAGCCTGAATTTAAAATTGATTATACTTAGATGTTTTGTTGTGTTACAGCCTGAATGTGAAAAAGTAAAGGGGTGTGAATACTTTCTGAAGGCACTGTATAGGGAATAGGGTGCCATTTGGGATGCAAGCCTTAGTTTTCTGCCAGTTCACCTCAATCACAGGCCTGAGATATTTCAGCCTGAGTGGGTGGGAATTGGCTCAATGACTGCTGGGTGATTGGCTGAATAAAGTGGAAAGAAAGCTAGTTACTACCTGTGGAGATGGCATGCCTGCATAATGTATCAGGGATCACAACTCAAGAGCTAACAGGCCTGCCCGCTCACTGCTCAGCCACCTGAGTCACTCGGGTACAAAGAATGCCCCATCTCACTTACTCTCTCACGGCCAACCACAACCTACGTATGTTGTAGCACTGTAGTAGCCCTACTTGTTGAGTGTATAATATTAATATGATCATAGAAGCTACTACTTTGAGGGAAAATGTACTTACTATGACTGTGATATGTGGTTGTCTCCCCTAGCTATCTTAAAATGAATGCACAAATTGTAAGTCGCTCTGGATAAGATTGTCTGCTAAATGACTAAAATGTAAAAAATGAGAATACATATGTGGCATGTACAGTACAGTAGGTGGAGGGTGTAGCCTATGTAATTGTGCTTTCTATCTTTCTATTAATGCCTTCAAACTGGACTCTAAGAGCATTCATAAAGCTGAATTGTATTGTATTATAGTACAGATATAGCACAATTCCCATAGGCGCCTGAGCAATGGAGCAAACGGTGCAGCTGCACCCCCACTTAAAAAATAGGGGTGTAAATGTATGTTTTTGCACCCCCATTTTTTCCCAGAAAAGTATTATGATCCATTGGGTCATTTGTCATTTTCTTTTTTTTTTTATATACTTTGTTTATTGAATTTTCAGTACCAGCATTTAGTAAATAATTGCACTTGAAAGTTATTTGGTATGAATATGGAACAACAATTTGAAGACAACGATACAGCAAAACATGAAGAGACAGACATGAAAGAAAAAATAGACATTAAGTACATAAATAAGATAAAACACAAAAAAAAAAAAAAAAAGGAAGAATATCTGTTTTGATCCAGTTGTTATAGGTCAGCTAGCACAGTTATTACCGTCCTTAACA